TCAAGTGACGTCATTACCGTATATGACGCCAGTATCCGGTGGGCGTGAGCCTGTGCTCGATACCCCCTCTCTCTTTGTGTGAGAGAAAGAGGGGATGAGTGATACGATGGCGCAGCTGGGAGCTTGGCCCCTCTGTGGGTTTGGTGACTGTTAGTTCCGCCTGTGGTTACAGATAAAGCGCAGGCCAACTGCACGGCTCCCATTTCAGCGCTTACCCTATGACCCTGAACATGGCATGAACATTCGGGTTTTCGGATTCGGAGATTCATGCTGACAAAATTCAGAAATATTTATTGGAACCGGAGGGTAAGTGCCTTTTCCGTGACGCTTCACTAGACTTGATATTTGCATTTACTGTTCATTGCGGGCACGTTTTTCTTCATATTGCACGTCCAACGCATTGCAATGTAAGATAGGGAATAATAGGGATGCATTTTTGGCAATAGACTTCAGTCATGTGGCTTGCTTGACCTCTCTTGTTTGCAATGCTCGAAATACCACAACTTTTTTGCAATATCTACCGTCCCAGTTTTATGTGTCTCCCCCCTACGTTCCCTTGCACAAACGCATCTCTTTCATACCATCTCTGGCCGGTCCTATACCTCGTGGATGCAGGCAGCACCGTACTACCATTTCACCCCACACAACAGGGCGGCAGCGGTGGCGGCAGCGACGGAGGCAGAGGAGGGGAGGGGATGGGGGAGAGGGGAGAGGGGTAGTATCGGTGCGATCGACACCGGCACAGAGGGGTGCGTGTGGGGTGCGGGGTGCCACAGACACGCACCCCGCAACGGGTAGCGCGCGCCGCAGCCTGAGAAATGTTCTCAATAATGCATAGCGACACGGAGGGGCGGTATGGGGTACGGTGGATTGGTGTAGAGGATAGGCTGTAGTTATTAGGTGTTGAAGGATGCTTGTGAAAGATGACTGAGGATGGGGAAATATGAACAAAGGAAAGTTTGCAAATTATTATGTCTTCATAATTCAAATGAATATTTGGATCAATTCCTGATCTTTTTTTAAATGAATGCAATGATGCGATCTAAGTCGTTGCAAGAGTAAACACATACGGAGCCGCCAGAAAGCTGCATGCATTACATTTTAGATATGCGAAACGATGATGTCATCAGAGGTTAAAGTATCCAACAGGGAAGTATCCGCAGACGTGACTTCCGCGTAAAGTTTGTGTTCATAGAACGTGACGTTGATTTGCTTTCGATAACCCTGGGAATGATAGTTCATAGCTTTAACATGACGCAGGAACACAGAGATGACTCAGAAAACCTCACCGGACATGAATGATATGGCAGTGCACCATTGATTACCTGATACTGATTGCCAATGGTAGGTATTTGCGATAACCTGTCCTAGAATGCTACGAATGCTGTCAGCTCTTATCTCACACAAACATGAACTTGTTCGTCAGTAAATGTGCAATCAGGTTTCCGTTTTGGCGACAGAGTGGCAAGAAAACGCTCGGAAGTGAGACACTACGGTAAGAGGAATAAGATGTCACAGGTTAAACTCCGACACTTGACAGCTGGAAGTCCTCGATGGATGCTTTGTGGCCAAAACATGATTATGACCAAAACATGATGATGTGTTGGGGTTTTAAGGTTGAACGTTAACGCTGAGGTTTATTTTTTACTGCAACGACTATAGTGGTCTGTAGAAAATATTTTGGTCTTAAATTGATAATGTCGATGCACGCTTATAAAATGCCACCCGTGACGCAGTCCATCTGACGTCATCAAATCACTGTGCAACTGTTAAGGGACAGCACATTCTAACACCCCCGACACAGCGCGCTCCGTATGCGTACGACGCATTGCGTAATGCGCGTGCCATCCTCCGCACAAGCCGCGCGCCCGGGGGCAGATCTGGGACTGTGATTGCGTGCTGGGCGACGGTAATGTCCCCGACTGGTACGGCGTCGCTCGCGCGTGACCTGTGTTCCTAGGTCGTTGCCAGATCCGCTGCCGTTGCTGGATCGTTGCTGGTGGTTGAGGCTATGCTATCTGGGTGACACTGGGCGGCTTTCTGGTGTTCCCTGAATGCATATTGCATATTATACATTGTGCTATGCTGGCCTGAAACCTCAGAAACTGGCTTGATAAAAATGGCTCAACGGTGCCATTAGTTATGCCGTTATTCACTGTCTCGAATATCCCGATGGGTTATACAAAAATACTTGAAATTACAGAAAAGTATGGCCAAGTGCTGTGCCATTTTTTCACTTAAAATGGAATATAGCCCCCTCTAGTGTGAATGCTTTCTTCGCATAATTATGTCACATTAATTATTATGCAGAAAGGATTGATCATCAGTCATTTCGAAGTCGACTTGCGCATTGCGCAGTTTACTTTGGCATCTCTCTCTCTCTCTCTCTCTCTCTCTCTCTCTCTCTCTCTCTCTCTCTCTCTCTCTCTCTCTCTCTCTCTCTCTCTCTCTCTCTCTCTCTCTCTTCTCCCTCATCCTCTCCTCTATGTTCCAGTCAGCTTTCGCCTTTCAGCTAACAGTTCTGTCACCCTAGCTTAAGAAAATAAACTACAACCAATCGTGTTTACGTCATTGTTATTGTTGCTACAAAACTCACTCACACGCGACCTCCTTTGTCGACTTCAAATACGGACTCCTTCTAAACATCAGCTGTTCTTAACTCGTTTCCTAGATGAATCGACTAAACCCATACCATGTGTTCCACCCAGCTCTCTTGTTTGGCACTACTCTCGCCGGGCAGCGCTGTGGGCTATGTGAGCGGGGATGACTCAGGATTGAGCCATGGACCAGCTGGACGCTGGCTGCAGAAGTGCAGGGTGCAGAGGGTGCAGACTGACCTATCGGCCCAGTGCCCTCCGGGAGGGGGGGGGGTACTCGGAGGCCATGGCACCAGACGGGCGACTGTGTGCAGACCGAGCCGTCAATCGCACGGGGAAAAGTAGGCAAAACTGACGCAATGGACAGAATGATTGCTGTGATGAATGCTACGTTATCGGGATTTATATCGGTCGGTCAATGCTTTGGGGACAACAGACACAAAATATGTTGCCAACAAACATCTAATTTCTTGTGTTACACATATGACATAAATCCCACTTAGCCTGGGCAAAGCGGCAAGCTCTAGTCGACTTTTCTTCGGTAGTCCGGTTGGCCCGTACAAATGTTTGTTTGTTTTTGTTTTGTTGGGTTAGGCCCTTTCGGTCGACAAGACCATTGCAGAGCCGGAAGGATGATAGGAATTAGGGGGAGACATTGGTCTGGGCAGGCACCCTAGAGAGTCGCCGGGGCTGAGCCCGTCCATAGGACAGGCCGTCCAGCCCCCCAAGCACTCTCTGCACCCGGCTACGGGGTGCAGCTCCCTCGGGAGCAGCGGTGCCGCTCCAAGGGAGCAGCCCGCATGAGATAAAGTTGCCTGTCCAGCCCGGAGGGGGGTTGTGGCGTGGAGGAGAAGGATTTCAGTATCCTGAGGATAGAAGCACGGATAGGTGCCGTACAAATGTTTATACATGGCCTGACTCTGCCACTCAGTTCATGTTCAACTGACGGACGGTTTCAGAGCCGGATTAGGCTGGCTGCTAAAGTTCAATGTTTGACGGCTCCACTTCTGTGACGTGCTACATCTGCATGCCATCGACCGCTGGGCGATGGCTTTGTTCACGCTATTTAGTAGCAACGAAATGGAGCTGCCACTTTGCTGATTGCTCACATGCATTACCGTCCATGCGTTCAGCAATGAACGGTAGGGTGTTGAAGCACTGGGCAATGGGCGCGATAAATTCAGCATGATATATGTTGTGTTATTGACTGCATTAAGCGGATCTGATTGGTTGACATGTTCCTTTCATTTAAGTATCAACTAAACAAAGCTAATTAAATTCCTCTTCATTGTCAAATGGATCAGCCTCCGATTCAATATGAAGCCATGCATGTGCCTAAGAGATGCATTTTTCAGTGTTCATTACCGCGACACTTCAAAATGAGCAAACGTCGATGTCCCATACAATTGATATTTGCCAAATGTTAGCAACATGCGTGACATACAGGGGAAATTGGTACTGACACTCTACACATCGTGTCGGTCTTCCTCCCATTATTCCCATATGATGCCACCAACTGCGACACATTCCTTGCATTGCCTGCAAGCTACCCTACTTTCCTCTTTCCCTACAAGAACAATGATGGTCGGGTCATATTTCGCTAAGGCAACCGTGGATGCTTATAAAAATGAAGTACGCAGTTGCTAACACCCATACTTCGTTAACCACAGTTTCGTTGCAATATGCATGGTACTTAAACATTATTATTCTATCGACAATGGCTGCTTCCACGTGTTACTCATTTCATCCTACGTGCATCACGATCAGTACCTATCGAGCTATCCATCCTTCCTCACCTCATGTTATTTATAAACCGCGATCCAGTGTCAGCGACGCCTTGCGCCTTTCACCAGACCCTGACCGTGCCACCCCTATTTGTATTGGGTTCGCGTGCGAGCTCACGATTCCCGTCATCTTCCCGCTGCACCCGAGCCTCGCCGTGCAGGCCATGGCTTGTTTGTGATTTGTGTCGGTGACCTATCTGGCCTCCGTGGCTTTCGATTGGTGAACAATTACTCTCTCTCTCTCTCTCTCTCTCTCTCTCTCTCTCTCTCTCTCTCTCTCTCTCTCTCTCTCTCTCTCTCTCTCTCTCTCTCTCCCTCCCTCCCTCCCTCCCTCCCTCCCTCCCTCTCTCTCTCTCTATCTCTATCCCTATCTCTATCTCTATCTCTATCTCTATCTCTCTCTCTATCTCTCTCTCTCCCTCCCTCTCTCTCTCTCTCTCTCTCTCTCTCTCTCTCTCTCTCTCTCTCTCTCTCTCTCTCTCTCGCACACACACTATGGATGAACGAAATAAAACGTTTTATTTCCCTGCCTAATACTCAACCAAAAGTCACACCACAAGTAACCAAGCTCAGTGCTCACGGGACCTTACTAACCTTCCTCTCTCACTCTCTTTCACAGACAAGCAGCAGCTGGAGGAGGCGCGCAAGGAGGGCACCCTCATCGAGACTCTGGTGGAGCTGGGCCTGTACGACTGGCAGGACCTGGTGCACCACCACATCGGCTACGCGGTGCTGGCCGGCGGCGGCATCGTGTTGGCCCTGCTGCTGCCCTTCGTGGGCCTGGTAGTGTGCTGCTGCCGCTGCTCGGGCCGCTGCGGGGGCCGGGTACAGAGCTACGACAAGAAAAAGGACGGATGTCGCCGCTGGTGCCTGGGAATCAGCCTCTGCATGATGGTGCTGGTGATACTGTGAGTACACGAGGGGGGAGGTTGATGGTTGAAGTGGTTAACTGGTTAGAGAGAGGAAGAATACATTGTTGAATGTGCGCCGTGACTTCAAGTCCGGACCCACCAAATGTACTAAATCATCACCATCATAAAACCTTCGATGTAAACGATCACGAAACCTGTGAGACTTTGCTTACGACAAAGGATTTTCTCCTTATTATCGAGTAACGAGGGCATTAAGATTGACAGATCAGAGTCTCCTATTACAAAGCTCTCATTAGCTTACGCGGAAGCCCAGAAGTTGTAGTTCTCGCCGCTAGATGTCACTACTTGAAACGCCTGAATGTAGGCTGTACCGCGGAGCACAGTATGCACATACGGCGAAAGGGATGGAGTGGGACCGGGAAACAAAATCCGACGGCTAAGATATATTCCTAGGGAAGCGGTAAAGGTGAAAGTGAGCTGTAGCTACGGTGTCATGGGCGAGCTTGCGCCTCCATGTCTGCCTCCGTTTCCTTCCATGTTAATCCGTACATGCTGGAAGTTGCAGTTTACTATGCAATGCGATTTTAAGTGCGACACAGCCATTATACTGCAGATGCGTGAAGGAATGTGCCAGTCTTCCGTATGTTTTGAAGCGTTTTGCCCTCGTGTCTAGTTGGTATAACGGCTAGATCTCGTGCAATAAAGGCGACATTCCCTTGTGAAAATTACCGTGCCATATAATGTCATGCTGATGCCCTTCGTGTCAAACCTTCATCACCCCACGTTTGTTTCACGCTTTCTTTTTTATTACACTGGCCATAGCTTCATGTCAGTTGCACGTTGCCCCTAATCACTTCCACTCAGTTGCCTATCCTTCTAGCATTATACGGAGGTAAACGTTGTCATTAGTTTTCGCGCCTGCCGTCGTTAACAAACAGATGACGTCACTGGTGTGTTATGACGTCACTGGGTACCTCTCAGGTTCGGCGTGGTCGCCTCGTTCGTTGTGAACGAGTACGTGGAGCGAGGTGTGACTGAGATTCCACCGCGACTGCATGTGGCCGTGGACGACTCCGAGCTGTATGTCCACAACACCAAACAGGTATGGGACTGAGAGGGGTATGTGTGTCTCTCATGTGTTAGTTTGTGTGTGTGTGGGTGGGTGGGGGGGGGGGGGTTCGAGAGGGATAGACAACGGCGTGAAGAGGTGACAAGAACGACTTTTTTTACTCTTAATACGTGTTTTTCCTTCAGCTTAAGGTCATCTGTTCTTTGCAAAGCGAGAATATCACTAGGCTAGATAAGGCTCAACACGAAACGGATGAATTTTGGGCATGTTTATTATTATTATTAAGATTCTGCAGGCCGGCTGAAAACTCAATGCAAAGTTTCGTGCTGACCATTAAATGTGTCAAGAGAGCCATGTGCAAAGACCACTTCATAAAAACCTACGAGATATGGACCATTGTTTTGCCTCGCCGTCCGTATTCTTGAATGGGAGTTTTTTTATCGTTACACCATTAGGTGGATGGGCTGAGTGTCGAGTCTTGTACGTGATAAGAGGCTTTGTTTGTCTTGTTTGCCGAACATCTGACGGAAGACGTTACGTTAGTTCGTGATGTGCACTCTGGTCATAAGTCAGTGATAAAACGTGTCTTTGTCTGCGGTTTCTGTTGGACAGGAGGTGAATCATCTGTTGAAGAAGAATTACATGGAGCTGACAGAGGTGCTGGACCAATCTTTGGAGGGTAAGCTGGCCGGGATCAAACTTGCTTCGTGGGGTGGGGGGGGGGGGGGGGGCTGATGAAATGAACTTATGTGCCGGTACGATCGATGGCATGGGTCGAAGGCAGACGCTTACGCGATGAACAGCTCTTTTGTAAATAGGTCATGTAAAGCCCCCCCCCCCCCCCCCATAGGTCCCATAGGGTGGTCCCACGGGCTGTGCCATACCACATTCGCTGTGTAAATTGCTTTCTGGGATTAATATAATCCCTGATGGGGCATATGTGATATCTGAGCTGCCATGCCTGCCACATGTGCTGCCATATCTGCCACCTGTGCTGCCATATTTGCCACCTGAGCTGCCATATCCGGCCAATACTACGATATGTATGTCACTACGGCACGATCCATGGCCGATCTCGAATTGCCGAACCGTGATTACCGTATAGACTCAGAGGTAGGACTAACTTGATCTACCCGGATGTGGTAGTGGTGGGGGGTGGGGTGGGGGGGGGGGCAATGATGGTGTCGACACTCGACCCCAAAGCGCCACCAGTAACCAGTAGTGACACTCAATAGTTCAAGCACACGGGCTGGTACTCAGTTTTCTTAGCGCTACCAAAGACGATGAGGCTGGCTTACTACGGCCTGAAACACCGTTACAACTCATGCACATCTTGCAGATGCGTTATTTGTTTCATAGATGCCTTCTGCTCATACTTCACTATCCAGCGTATGGCTGTCGCAATGCGCATTTAATGGATATAACTTTCCGCATAATTTAAGCAATGAAGTGTTAGCGAAAAAAATACGTTGGTTACTAATTTTGGAGTACATGTTAAAAATTGACCGTTTCTTTTTGCTGGGTCGTCGTTCCAGGCAGAGGTTTCACGATGCGACCGTCTGTGTGAAATATTTTTAGAAGTTGCCTCCAAGCTTTATTATTTATTTGTGGTCGCAACGATTACCAGTTGTTTGTTGTTGACGATATTAGATTGTCCTGGCCAGTCGCGTGCATTTGTCATCCGTACCTATTTCCAGCGCTCGCATTGCGACCGTGCCTCTACGACAAAAACGACAATAACGGTACGCGACACGCGAGCAGGTATAAATAACGTAACGCTATCCCCGTGGGCGATGTAATAGCGGTCTATTTTGGTCCGGCTCAACACGGTAGAGGCGGTGACGGGAATAGTGCCTGGGAGACAACAAAGGACGTGTCCCATGATGACTGAAATGCGGGCATCTAAGCTTCAGAGTCATCTTAGCACCCCAATGTCCTCTCAGTGCAATAGGCACTACTTATCCACTGCAGTTGTACGTTGATTTCAATGAAGATACGTTATTCATTATCAATGCTCGATGCGTTGCACGGCACATGTTGCATTGACGAGGCATTAAACATAGGGTAGTGCTTATTTACGTACCTACATCAATTTAATTGTGGCTGTGCCCTGCACCCCAACATCCCATTCCAGTGCGTGCGCATATTTCTTGACGCCTTATCAGTCTCTCTCTCTCTCTCTCTCTCTCTCTCTCTCTCTCTCTCTCTCTCTCTCTCTCTCTCTCTCTCTCTCTCTCTCTCTCTCTCTCTCTCTCTCTCTCTCTCTCTCTCTCTCTCTCTCTCTCTCTCTCTCTTCCTCTTCCCATCCTCTGCACCCAACCACAGACCGTCTCTGACTTCTGGGTGACGAAATCGACAGTACATGCGGCAGCGTTTGTTTGTAGATGTCGAACACTGGCTTGCCTGGTGCTGCCACAATGGGTGGTCTCACATGTGCAGAGAGACTTATTGTACCGTTACTTTGGCCGACTTTAAGACAGTCGTGCTTATTATTTTTGTTTTTGATTTATAGCTGTTGCCTTTTTAGCTGGCCACAACTTTTCGAAGTTTTTTTTTGTGATACAAAACTTACCATGTTAGGCTATCAATGTGAATAATACATCTTAGTGAAGGCACGTCTTACATATCTCTTTCTTTATTTTTAATATTTATTTTTGTATACTTTGCTAAAACGACATATTGCATGCAATTAACTCCCATCGCTTACGCCTGGAATCGAACCGGGAGCCTCTGGTCGCTGGTGCGTGTACACTGACATCCTCCCCCTCTTTCTGCAGAGTGCGGAGTGCGGATAGAGCGTCAGCTGGCGGACATATCACAGGCAGCAGCCGTGGATAATCTCACAGCCATCGCTGAGGGACTCACTGTTATAAAGGATGAACTACAGGTAAACAATTACGAGTCTGGGACGTGAGCGGCGCGCGGTCCTGGCGTAGAAACTGAGACGTGTTTGGTTGCATGAGGGGGGGGGGGGGATGTTATCAAATCGCTTCCCTGACCCTGCTTCACTAAATTGATATATTTTCATATGTTTTGTCGACGATGGTCTTTCTAGGTCTCCATTGTACCTAACCGTTGCCGTTAAAACGTATTCAACGTTATTACTCGTAATTGTTCTACCGGGAGAACAGTTATCTGAATATGTTTTGTATGTCTCGTCTTTGCTGGTGTGTAAACATTTCTGTTGTTCAACTATGTTTGCTTTTTTTAGTTATAACGTTTTTGCGTCTGTAGTCACAGTCAGTCAGGCTCTGATCCTGTCTATGTCAATGTTTATGTTTGTGCTGTGCACACTGACACATGGTCGTCTGATGTCTGTATGTATAGACGGACACTGCTCACTGCTCAGGCATGCAGTCATGTTGGGAAGGTCTGACATTTGATGGTAACTCTGTGGGGTATTCTCTGTGTTAGCACTTACATGGACATGAAAACTAATGTCTGAAGACTAGATGACGTCCATAGTTATCAGCAAGATCCTTGCTTTTGTTTTTCCGCTCACTTTGTACTTTGGGTGTATTTTGTAACAAACTTCCACACTTGTGTCTTGCTCCGAAGAGAGGATTTGTTTGCCATTATTATATTTCAGAAACATATTTCCTAATGCATTGGGCCATGCTGTAAGTTTGCGGCGATATGGACGCCCAGCGTTTACCTACGTTCGTTCACCTTCCAAGGTACACCCATGTGCTAGGACTTGTGTCACCGGTCATTAGCCATCACCCTCCCCCCGTCTCTTCTCGCAGTCAATCGGTCGTCAGTCCGTGCTCCTGCAGAACAAAGCGGACCAGCTGCAGGTGGGACTGCAGGACGCCAGGGCAGAGCTGGCGGTCCTCCTGCGCTCCTGCAGTTCGCCGCGCTGCCGCCAGCTGGCAGCACAGTACAACCTCACCCAGCTGGTAGTGCACAATGAGTTCAAACGGGTGAGTCGTGGTCAGTGGTGTTCACATATATGGCCTTGTCGTGTTTTAAGCAATGTAAGGTAGGCGGGTGAAGAGTTGCCGGTGGGGTTGGATCGGCTCTGTCGCTAGATATTGAGGCTGTCCAAGATCAAACTAGCGCTATTGAAAGAACCTGGTGGCATGATCCTAAATGATCATCAGATTTGCCTGTGATCAACAGTTCAAGCTTGTCAACGATGCACCAGCCTCCTAGCGTCTAAGTTACCTCTTTGAGACGTCTGTTTAATAACCTGATTCGCTTTTTCCCAGCCAGCAATTTTGCTCCGGGCCCAAGCAGGCTCAAGTGCGGATTGCCCGAGATTTTTAGTCGGGCTAAAGTCGGCTAGGGCTTGGGCTAAAGTCGGCGTATGACACAGAAACGCCGACTAAAGCCCATGCTCTGCCGGAGATATGCCCGCTCTGCGAGCTCCGGGCAGCCGTAGTTTAGCCCTAGTTGAGCGACGATTGGCGTTAGCCCGATTTAAGCCCGAGCAGTGAATCCATTTATATAATGGAAATTACTCTGGGCCCGAGCGGGCTGAACTCCGGCAAGCCCACTCTGTGTGCCCTGTCTATCCCGACTTAAGCCATAGAAGTGAATGGGGTTTATACATTGCAAACTGCTGTGGCTTTGCTCGGGTTCGGCTCGAGTGACGGCTCCTGTTTTCTCAAGTCTCGACTTGACTTCATCTTGCTTTTGCTTCACACTGGATCAAGTAGCAAGGAGCAGCCAATGCACTTTCAGCAGGTTGTGTGGTTTTAATGCATATTTAAAATTGCTACGGTCACTCATATGCTCTGTTAACCGGTCATCGAGCATTGCGAAAGGAAAGTAGTGGTTGACTTTGATTGAATGTTTATTTCAAACGACTACAGACACGTCAAATGAAACACAAATACATGAAACAGTGGACTGCAAACTGCAGCAATAATATGGCATGAGTCATGAAAAAGCGCCATCAAAACTATAAATCAATCACAAAACCCGCTAGCCTTCCTCCCCGTTCGGCGTTCATAATACTTGGTTGAACACTTAACCGAAAGCATAAAGTAAGGACAGCAAGTAATCGCTCATAAGACATAAAGCAATTAGCAAACAATCGTTTATAAAGAACTTCACTCTGGTGAATGGGAGCTTTGGAGGCGTCTGGCTCCTCCACAGTCCACACACACACACACATCTGCAGTAGGTGGTCGGCCAGCTTTCGGCGCAGTTTCCGTATATGTAGGTATACCTACTTAATTATAAGCAGGCAGTTTCCGCTAAACCACTTGGCGAGGGCGACAGCGGCGTCCACCCGGTCCTGGTTTGTATAACTATTCCATTTTTTGGAACAATTTGCTCTAACGGTACGTACCTGAAAAAGAGATCAATTGGTTTAATTTACATTGCATGTTTGCTTGAAAAATATAACTTATTGTTGCATTAATACTGTAACAGCACTTCTTATTGATCCGTATAAAATGTTCATTCGAATTTTTCAACGCGGACAGAGAATGAGCTGCTCGGTGATAAGTAGATAAATATTTGTGTTTTGTATTTCATTTTCCTGGTTCAGAAGTGCTGGTATTTCACAAAGATATACATAAAGGCACGGAATGCGGCTTTTCTGAGCGAGGGTATAAGTCGCCAGGCTGAACAGCTATTCAGCTTCATGTTTGATGGCGTGAAACTCAGTCAAAATAATGACGTTTACATACGATCAAGCGCACCATTCAATACAATTACCTACCGTAAAACTCCATGCCAGTCCACTTGATAAGAGCAATGAGCACTATCCCTTCTTCGCGCTGTCACACGCGCCCAAACATCAACCACCAAATGCCCAAACACCGGTGCGTCGTTTCGTCGCACAGCGCGCAGACTGTCACAAACGCTGCACATGATTGGCGCAGAACTGCGCATGCGCGAACAGCCGAACAAGTATGGCTTAACTCCGGCTTTACTCCAGTTAGCCGAAGGACACAGCCAGCTTGATCAGCCCGCGCTCCGCCCAAGTTAAGCCTGTTTTGGATGCGTGGGCAGATGTCGGGCTGAGCTACTGCTATCCGCACGTGGGCATAGCTGCGGCATGCCCAAGCTCAGCCCTAGTAAAAAATACATTGGTTTTGATCAAAGTGGGCAAACCCAAGCTAAGCCCAAGCTGCCCGACATTTACCACAGTTCAGCCCAAGTGAATTGCTGGCTGGGTTAGCGTCTTCGTTTTGGTTATTTCTCGACCGCGTAATGCATAGTTGTGAGCTTGTAATGTAACTATGTACGATGCATTTCACAATACGTGCGTCATTTTCCAATGTGAATGCATTCAGTAGTGTGTTGCTGTTGCAACTTGCAGAAGGCGAACGCGAGAACATCATCAATCATGCACATCTGAAATGCACGCAGAAATTGTAACACTGACCGTCGTAACTCGTAGTGTTGCGTAAATGCATCGTGCGCTGATGCTACTTTGTGGCTCCAATGCTCTTGGAGTCTGGAGACCCTTTTCCACATTTGCTGTCGTGTCTGTTTTACTAGGACTGCTCGACCTAACTCTGACCTCTCCCGCCTCTCCCCAGCTACCCGACCTCAGCCGCTGGGCCCGCGAGGTCACTGCCCTCATCGAGGCCGGCATTGAGGCTGAGGTGCGACGGGGTCAACTGGCCCTCAACCAGCTGTCGCAGAAAATTCAGACCGAGGTGGCTGCTGTGGTGCCTGAGGTCCGTCAGGGTGTGAGTCGCGCAGGTCAGTCACGGGGGGGGGGGCTCGGGGGGGGGGGGGGTCGATAGGTCAGGATGAGAGACAGTCGGACGGGCCATAGGTCAGCCGGACAGACGGCTGGACGGTAATTGGCGAGACAGAACAGACAGAGGGACATATTGGCTGGGCGGCCGATGGATCCGGGCAGTTTGTCTGGCTCGCTCGCTCGCTCGCTCTCACTCACTCACTCGCTCGCTCACTCACTCACTCGCTCGCTCACTCACTCACTCACTCACTCACTCGTGCCCCTACTCAATCGTTTGTGCCGTGGACGGTGGTGGTAACCACATTGCTAAGTGTACTTTTTTGCACCAGGGGCTCCGTCACCGGGGGGGGGGGGGGGGGCGGGGGGGAACTGAACCTCACCTCAATTATTTCGTTTCTGTGATGCAGCTGCATGAATAAGGGTATTACATTTTTTAGCCGGTCCCCCAATCCTAAAACCGCGGGAATCCCTGTTTGCACTTGTTTATATTCGGTCTGATTGTTTCACTTCATTTATTTTTCCAATAAATAATACGATCGTGGGTCTGTGCTCGTTGTCACATGTCACGTGTCCGGTGTCCCCGGATCGTGGCACGTTTCACGGCGGCCGTGTCTGTTATGATCAGCTACTACCTATGTGGCACCCGGACTGCGATATTCCGATTCCACGCCGGGCACGGCTGCCTGCCTGTTGTGTCACGTTGTCGCACCCCGTGCTCGCTCGCTGTCACGCGCCGTAGCCTCGGTCGGGCCGTCGGTGTCGGTTATGAACAGCTACTGGCGGTGGGGGCAGAGAGACCGCGCGACTGCCGGCCGGTTCAAGGCCGCCGGGCACCCACCCAGTGGACGCGCGCGGGCGCACGAGGCAATGTCGTATGGACAGCTACTGATGAGAAGGGCAAATGTGGCAGCAACCGCCACCACACACGTGCGCGCTCGGACATATTTGGAGCGCGTATTTACAAATTGCAACCGAGCTCCGCCGTGGGGTAAGGTGGGCAGGGGTTTTCGCACTACGGCTGCGGTTGAACTACCGTCTGTGGTAGAAACTTTAGGACAATGGCGCGTTTCATACGAAATGTGGCGCAATGTTTGTTTGCTTCTGAACTTGTACATACTGTTATTGCTGTGAATTCTTGAAGTGGGAGTGTTTCAATAACAATTTGTGGATTATTTGAGTTTCTTTATATAAACATAGAATAGTATTATGAAACATTGTGTGGAAACCGCAAATACTGATATGATCAATTACTTAGTTTGGGAATTGATGCACATTTTGTAGAGATTTGTCTGGCAAATGGTGTAACAAACCTCAAGCCTATCATGATCTGAAGCTGTTGTAACAAATCAAAATTGCTTTGGTGTTACATAGTACCTTGTTGGAAAGACTGGAGCATGGTTCAAGATGATGTGTAAAAATTCAAGATTTGTGGGAAAGCTTGTGACTGAAGAACAAAAACAGTTCTATATGATGGCTCAATCAAACATGGAAATGGACGACAAAAGTAGAGTTTCAACATTCCAGCATGTGAGAATAACTTCAGAAATTCATAATTCTTGTAGTATTGCATTCTTCTTATGTACAGTTATAGGTTTTGTTAGGGTATTTGAAATTCATTGTGTCAGTTGAGATATGGAAGGATTGCAGACAAATTTTAGAATCATTGCATGGTAGCTAGGTATAAGGTACTTGTTTGGTAAAAAGATATGTGATGAATGCCATGAGGTTTTTTATGATTTAATATATGGTTGTTGTTGTACCTACAAAAATGCAAGCTTACTAGCAACTAGTTTCTGAATCAAATCGAAAGTATTTGCCATGAATGTAATTATGTACCTGCAAAGTATGTCAATAAATGTGTGTGATGTTGACGAAAGAGCTTTATCATCTGGGCATTTATGTCGCTTCTTACATTAGGTGTTAAGCATAGTAATTACGGATGAACTTTGTGCCAATATCTTCAATGCACAATGTATGTAGCATGTCTACAACCCTCACTGATCCTGCTATAGCTATAGGCATTTGGCACCAGCAAGACCAAGGGCATGAACTTCACAATTGCTCAACCTTTTGTCATGTACCACCAGTCACTTTTTTACTTAAGGTGCACATAGCTAGCAGTGCACACAACAATGTGCAGAGGGCCTACACAAAAACAACATGATTAGTGTGCACTATGCACAGGATTGTACCCTGATTATTTGAATATTTTGATCACTCAACAGTCAACAGTCAGGAGATAATTATTAAATATCACATTTATTATACATCACTTGTCAAACAAGAGCATGATGACACACATTTTGACAAGCAATCATGGTAGTATTCCAATAAGTTGGACAGTCATCTCCCTGGGCGTCATTTTTCCAGGAAGGTACCTCTGCAGGTGTTGTGGTACCTAGGCTAGGTTGAATTGGGTCAAGTTAGGCGAAGTAAGGTCAGGTGGTTAGGACCCGGTCAGACCGTAAGGGCTGGTCAGGTTGATTTTAATCTTTCATTCTAATTTGACATAGATATCTATTACCTATGTTTTTGCTCCAGCCTGAATTTCATTAGGTAATGAGTTAATTTTGCTTTGTTTTTATCTGTCTTATTTTGTGTTTTGTCCCTTATATTTTGCCCCATAGGCAAGGGTGGAGCTTTTCCAGGGAAGGTGGTGGAGCATGATTGGAGGCGCTCAACCAGACGGCATAGGAGGGCACGGTTTCTGAACGCGCACTGATGCCTGATTCAAGCCACGCTGTCTTCATGCGTGGCGGCGCGCTACTTAAAAGTCCCTAAAAGAACGGGAAGTGATGCCGATAGAACCTTCAATTATTCTGGGCTAACGCTTATGACTTGGAAAAAGTCGCGATCCCAATTCAATCGAAAACCTGTGGGCTCTTGTTTAGCAGGAGGTGTATGAAGAGCCACCCGCCATAAGCACTGCTCAACCGCAGGCACAGGTTTAGACGGCGTTGGTCCGCATCAAAGCCAGTGTGCTTTTTGTCATCCATTGGCTGAAATGCTTCAGAACATTCGCCACTGTGTGGGTTCCTCATTTCCTCTCTGACTGTCCTTTGAAACCACTCCAAAGATATGCAGAAACCAACGAGGTGAGTAAACGAGGTGAGTAAACTGTTTTTTATGAAAGGTAGCTACAAGCTCAGTTAAAAGAAAAAGTATCAGATTGTTTTGTTTTTTGTTTTTACAGCGGGAAGAAAGGTGTCCGGATGATTTCGTTACACCCCCTGTGATGTTCAAATGGTTGCTAAATTCGAAATCAGCTCCAAAAACTAGCCTGGAAACATGTAAAACTCGAAAAAGTGAACCGAGGTCATCAAAGGTCATTGAGCTGACCTGACCTTCAGGTGACCTTGACACCCACCCTAATGCATGGGACCAGCATCATATCACATGTCTCAACGCTTGAAACCACGTGAAGACTGCAACCGCGCGGCTAATGCGAGCCGACATACGCCGAATCGCGATTCGGGCCAAACATGGTCTCGAGAAATAGGTCAGAGGTCATTTGGGTCAGGGTCATGAAATTTTCAGGGTTGGTGTAAAATTGATAAAATCGGGGGTATTGAAAGTTTCGTCGCGATCGGACGGTTTTTACGCGAGTTACTCACGAAAAACCGATAAAGCGCACCCAAAAAGGCAGAAATATGCACATGCGATATCCTATACTGCGAAAAAAGGTGCATCATTTTTTAACGTCGCCGACAAATTGTAATTACCCTAAGCTCAGGCAGATGTATGGTAGAAAATCCCCCAAGTGAAACACACTACGGCGGAAATAAAATACCCTACGGCGGAGCTCGGTTGCAATTTGTAAATACGCATTTGGAGCGGCCGCGAGAGCGTATCTGCCACCCTTCTCAGTAGCTGCGCATAACATCGTCAGTCGGCGCGCCAGCTGACTGCCGTTTGGATGGTCGTGACGTCACTGGGATGCTACGTGGTATGTACAGCTACTGAACTGGGCAGCGAATGGGACGGTCAAAACGCCGTATGTCCATGAAATCTATCAGACAGACGGGTGAGGGAGGACAACAATGCCCGGACGAGAAGCGTATCTGCCACCCATCTCAGTACATGTCCATAACCTGGTTCACTTGGCGAGCCAGCTGACTGCCGCTATGCTTTGCTGACGTCATCTGAGGCTCGTGCGGTATGTGCAGCTACTGCGCGATGCTGCATATCCAACTTAAAACGAGTGCCGTCACCCGCCGGTGACCCGCCGAGGCTTGCTTGTTGAGCGCCGCCCTCTGACGGGACTGACGGCACCGGCCTGTGTGTGTTATGTGCAGCTACTAGCGCGATGCTACTTGTCCACCTTAAGAACGCGCGCTCGGTCGGATTTAGGGTTTGTGGATGGAAAACGGACTCTCCCTGCGCTTCAGCGAAAGCGAGCAGCCGATGGAGTGGGTTCGTTGTTAGCGGCGAACGATCGAGCCAGCCTGCCGGTCTTGCCCGTCTTTGTCTGCGCCTCAGCGCTAGGGAGCGCCCTACGTAGTGGATCCCTTACTTGTGCGCGATATGAGTGAGAAGAGAGTCCCGAATTTCGTTCGGTGAACCGAGGACCGGCCGCTGTGGCTCAGTCTCGGTGACTCGTGTTATGAACAGCTACTGCGCTATGTTACGTGTCCACCATAAGAGAAACCTATTCGGTTAGATTTACCCTGGGTCGGACGGAGTTCGGACGGGGCCGGGTACGACTACGGAATGTACGGACGAGGTTTGAACTTCCTGGCTAGTGGCGGACTGACTGACGGGTCAGAGTAAAAATCACCGGACGCAGTTTCCAACCAAGTTACCACCCTGTCCACCATAATATAACCGTGTTTATTGTCGTGGAGAGGTCACATCCATGGTGGACGAACCGGACGGTACGGGTCGGCCGGTCCACCGTCCAGGCTCCCTGGCTGATGTCGTGTTATGGGCAGCTATTGCGCTATGTTACATGTCCACCATTCGGTTAGATTTACCCTGAGTCGGACGAGGTAGGTGGTAGACTGACGGGTCCAGAGTAAAAACGCCGGACGGAATTTTCAACCAAGTCACTCACCATGTCCCATGTCCACCTCCATGTTTATTGTGATGGACATAGAGGATTCTTCATGGCTCCGAGTGGAAGATAAGGATATCTTTTCCAAGCGGGTTACTGAAAAACCGAGCGACGAAGGAGCGAGGTTTTTCTGTAACACGCGAGGAAAAGATATCCGATCTTCCACGAGTGAGCCATGAGGAATCCTATATCTTTCTATGTTGAGGTTTATTCTTAATCAATTAAATATTATATTAAAATGCATTCATCGATGTAAAATAGATTCAGAGTAGTCAGTAGTTTGTTCTTATTTCACAAGTTTCATCCATAAACAACCATTAAAAATGTCGTTCGGTTATTGACCCATCATCACATGAACTCTTGATTTTTCGCTATGAACCCTCGAGACCTTATCTTTGCATCTCAGAGGGATGCAGATATAACAAATTCTTATCTTTGCATCTCAGAGGAGTGCGAGATAGAAATATCCCTGCACTGTAGACCCAATGGCAAATAAACCTCAACTAGAAAGATAGGACACATATATTTATTTGGTTTGGTACCTACGGGTCAGCCGGTCAGTCCAGGCTGCCTGGCTGAAGAAGTCGGGTTATGGGCAGCTATTGCGCTATGTTACCGAGTCCACCATAAGAGCCAATTCGGTTAGATTTACTTACCCTGCCTGTCTGTGCTGTCGTCCCCGTGATCAAACCGACCAACATCGGTTTACATAGATGGGGCTGACCAACGGACCGACGACGTTAAACGTTCCTTGTCTCCGCGTGTTTCAGGCATTCAGCTGCAGGAGGTGGCCAACAACATCAGCACGGCGCTGGACCAGGTACAGCTGCAGCCGGTGCACACCGTCATCGACCAGGGCAACCACTACCTGCAGCAGTACGGCACATTCAGGTCAGTGCTTACGGCTCCTTTAGGGCAACCACTAACCACTACCTGCAGCAGTACGGCACCTTCAGGTCAGTACGGTACTTTCAGGGCAACCACTACCTACAGCAGTACGGCACCTTCAGGTCAGTACGGTATTTTCAGGGCAACCACTACCTGCAGCAGTACGGCACCTTCAGGTCAGTACGGCACCTTTAGGGCAACCACTACCTGCAGCAGTACGGCACCTTCAGGTCAGTACGGCACCTTTAGGGCAACCACTACCTGCAGCAGGACGGCACCTTCAGATCAGTACGGCACTTTCAGGTAACAGGTTAGTACGGCACTTTTGGGGCAACCAGTACCTGCAGCAGTACGGCACATTGTCGGCATCTTCAAGGCAACTACTACCTTAGATTACGGCACTTTCAGGTCAGTGCGGGAATGCCAAGTCGGTACGGCCCTTTTAGGGCAACCACCACCTGCAGCAGTACGGCACATTCAGGTGAGTACGGACTACGGGAACGCCAGACAGTACGGCACATTTAGTAGGACACCTTCATTCACTCTTCAGGCCAGTACGGCACCGTCCTCAGGTGAACCACTATCTTGCAGCACGGCGTATTCAGGTCAGTACGGTACCGTTAGGTCAGTTTGGCTCCTTCAGGTAAATTGTGATAGCGACAAGACTAGCGATAAGCCCGTGTCCCGTGCTTGACGTATCTGCGGCTAACTGTCGTCATTTCCGGTGTTACCTATTTTGAATAAATGGCATTCGCCATTTAGAAAACAGGAATAATCCACACAATTACCTATACGATTGTCCGATTGTGACCGGCTGCCGGGGCGATACGATCGACAGATGTGATTGGCTGTGTCATGCTCTGACCGTCCTCTGTGTCCGCCCTCCTCAGGTACTACATTTTCGTCATCATCTCCGGCCTGGTCTCGCTCATCGTGTTCTGCATGGTGATCGGCCTGTTCTGCGGAATGTGCGGACGGAGACCGGACAATGTGTACGGAGACGACACGTGCAACAAGGGCACCGGCGCCAACTTCCTCATCAGGTGGGTGTGCCCCTGTGACCTGTATATCTGCGAATAGATGCGCTGAAGGCTCGCACAATACGCAGTGTTATTTGCTTGATATGTGAATATGAGGCGAATGTTTCAGAGCCAGGGATGAATCGTTTGTTGCTCAAATTTTCAGGAGTCGTTGAGCTGCACGGCCAGGGCCTCTTTGATATGTGCCTACTGCCTGTATGTTCGGGTTCGGTATAATGAGGTTTTTAGTAGGCATTTGCATTTTTTTCTGGATGCTCATTGACAGTTAATTTCATGGAACCACATCTTAACGTCATTTGAGATTAGTTCGGTAGTAACAAGGCACAGTAACCGCCTTTTACCTGGCTGTGTTAGCTTGTATCACACTTCACACCATTCACCGCCAGCCCGCCTCATCTAACCCCATCTACCCGTTCTCTCCCCACAGCGGCACGTTCTTTTTCTTCCTGTTCGGGTGGCTGCTGCTGCTACTCATCACCTGTATGTTCCTTCTGGGCGGCCTGACCCAGCTGTACCTCTGTGATGGCCTGGTGGACCCCTCGGCGCCTGGCAGCGGTCTGCCCATCCTGGAGGCGGTGTACCCCTTGGAGACCGTGTTCCCCGCGCTGGAGAACGCCGGAGATGTGGCTGATGTGGTCAGGTACGGGATTATTGCGACGAATCAGTACGATTGTTGAGAAGAATCCTGAATCCATATACAAATGTTCCATAATTAACGTTATGCATATGAGTGTTCCATGATGAATGACGTGCTTATAATTTCGGCTCGGACCGATGTATTTCCACAATCGACATGTGCCAAAAAAAACTTGCTCAATCCAGCCGCTTATTTTAGTTTTGAGAGAAAATTGATCAATCCTGCCACCTTCAGTGAACTTTCACCCTTACGTTCATATTCTGTTCTGCCTTACCAACCCCCCTCGGTCCAAGTGACCCATTCCCGTCCCCTGAACAGACGCTGCCACCAGAATCAATCCATCTACTCTGTACTGAGACTGGAATCGCTGTTCAACGTCTCTGAAGTCCGAGGATACAAGTACCAGATGGAACTCGACCAGAAACTGGAGGCACTGCGGCAGCAAATTACGGTCTGTGCGGTATTCGGTGACGTCATTCGGGGATGTATGACGTCATTTAGGATAGTTATATGACTTTTTGAAGGAATATGATAGGTAACTCGTTCATTGAGCGATTGCGAGCGGAAAAGTATGCTCGTCTCATTAGAATGTATGGTGCGGTATGACCTATGGGCATTTTGTTGTTTGCTTTCACTTACTTTGCTTTGTTTTAACCTTAGATAAACTTACTTAAGCCACCGCACGTTAGGATATGGCCTCGCTCGACGCTCGTCGAAGCCTTATTCCACCCCTGACCGTTCCTCTCGTCTTCCACACGCAGGTGGACACTGCCGTGGAGCTGTTGACGTCACGGGCCCGGGATCAGCTGGCGCAGCTGGCCCGCTCCGACCTGGACCAGCTCAACTACACGGCCTTCACCGTGGCGGTGAGTGGGGCGCCACAATAAAAGAAGTTAGTCAAAAACAAAAGAAGTCAACACACACAAAAAAATGACGTTTGCTGGAGAAGCGAGAAGGAACGAGCGAGTTCAGTTTAGCTTGGCGATGTGATTTTTTGAAGTTTTTATTTCCTGAGTTGGTACCGGTCTGTACGTCCCCTCTCCTTCACATACACAGATGGGGGTCCAGTCCATGTAATCTGTTTAGACGTTGACATCGGAGTAGGTACTTTTTTCTACACTACCCTTCTGACGTCCACTGTGTGTGTATATAACCCGCCTGGGCCAGGTTACCGCCCATTTAACTCGCCTGAGCTGGGGTACCGCTTACATAACTCGTCTGCTCTGTATTACTGTCGTTATAATCCGTCCGAGTTAGGATCCAGTCTATATAACCCGCCTGAGTTGGGATACATTATATAAAGCATTATAACCCGCCTTTCTCTATCTCTCAGCTGGAGGAGGAGATTACCACGATCGACATGAACCCACTGGGAGACGAGCTGGAGCGGGCCAGTCAGGAGCTGCCGTCCTCTGAGCGCAGTGTGGCCACCCGCCTGAGGAACCAGGCCATCATCCTGAAGGCACAGCAGAGGGTGGTCGCCGGCATGGAGGAAATTGTGCAGGATATCAGGGTGAGAAGGAGGGAATAGGGAGGAAGGGAGGGAGGGAGGGAGGGGAGAGAGAGAGAGAGAGAGAGAGAGAGAGAGAGAGAGAGAGAGAGAGAGAGAGAGAGAGAGAGAGAGAGAGATAGAGAGAGAGAGAGAGAGAGAGAGAGAGAGAGAGAGAGAGAGAGAGAGAGAGAGAGAGAGGAGAGAGAGGGGGATAGGAAGGGAGGAAGAAGGAAAGACAGAAGTTTTATTGACTTTCTCCTAAGCATGCATGATATCCCAGTCTTTCATGCTGCTTGTGTATGATATGGAATGGACTCACAATTGATACATATGAAGGCTGGTTTAGTTCACGATATTCTATTTCTCGGAAACGTTTGAAGGTCTGATATCATTGCAGTCCCTTGTTCAATGACAGGCTTAAAATTTAAGGATCGACTTCCACGAAAATGCTACCATTGGATCCACGATATCCTAAGATCGCCGCCCAAACACGCGAAGTTTTCACGCAACAGCATTCATACAAGTTGTGTAATATTAGTTTGCACTTTCTACTTGCCCTCGATACCCACTAGCCGCACATACCGGGCCGTCGCCGACTGGCGGGGGGCTGGTCGGTGTCTTTTTCATCAGCACCGGGCTAGTCCTTGCGCAATGTTGGGCTCCGAGCTTCGATATGACCACATCGGCCGGGCGCCGCAGTGGAAAAATTGCGAAGAACTTGGTGCGGGCGGCTGGGGTGTGTGGGAGAGAAAACGGGGTTTAGGAAGAAATTTGGATGAAATTTGAGGTTTGAAACTTCTAAGCTCACGATAAACCATCAAAGTATCAAATTTTATCACTGTTTCTCGTGAACAACCCTCCTTTCGCTCGCTATTCACTTTCTCCCTCGCGCGCGCGAGGTCGAGTTTTTGTCGTTATTTTCCGCTCGGCCTCGGTCGGGGGTGGGCGGCCTTGGAGCGCGGCCGTGGCTAGGTCTCACCGGACCTCCGAGCCAGTAGCTGCCCATAACACAGCCAGACCCCCGACACCACCGCCCCAGGCGCTGCCAGCCGGGGCCGCGTCATCGCAGCTGAGCTTACAAAGCTACGGCTGGAGTGGCTGCCTCAGCTCACCAACAACGTACGGATGATTGGTGATGCGTAGCTTTGCTGGATGCGAAATCTCAAGTAGTTATGTTCAATTTGCTGCCATCCTAAGATATTCACTGCCTCAGAAATGAAAATTAATAGCATGGGTAAAGAGCAAGCGATAATTGCTAAAAGCCACATGTTTGGAGTTTATTGTTTATGGTGCATGAGGCACATTGTCCCTATGTATGTAGGGCTTGGTTCGATCCAAGACATCGTCATTGTGATTGCACTACAGCAATCCCATTGATTCGAATACCCTTCCACCAGTGTGAGTTCATATAGGTAGCCAAGGATATGTTTGATGCTTTCTCTTCATTGCCCTCGTTTTAGCCATACTGCCTTGCCAAGTCCGTGCTTGCCTCCTTCAGTTATGCTGCCCCAGGACCTGCTTCCCAATGTCGGAAATGGAATGCATCCGTTCGCTTTAGCCAGGGAGATTGTCAACGTCGATCTCATTCTCTTCGACGCCTTATCATGAACCACAAAACATGTATGCGAACGCATCGATCATAGCGACACCCGACAGGCTTTCCAAGAGGACAACTCTGACATCTCCCTTTCCCCGGACAGAACTCGACGGCCTCACTGCAGGAGCACATTCTGACGGCCAACGGCAGCCTGCCGGATGTAGTCAGGAAACTGACAGAGACGGCAGAGGCCGCCGAACGGTACCTGAGGACCAGCGGCCGAGATCTGGTCGTCAAGGTTGGTCATCCGGGACAGGGTGGGGTGGGGGAGAGGATGGGATGGAGGAGAGAGGGAGGATTAGAGGGGAGAGGGGCAGAGGAACTTGCGTGACTGCTCCGTTTAGTTGGCAAAGTGCTGTTTCATCAGTTCGACATCGCTCGTGTCTGTTTCTGGTGTTCTTTCTATGCATCTGTTTCTATAGTTCTTTTCAGAAGAGTTCAGTTTCTAGTTCATGCAAGTAGAGTGTGAATTTTCTGACCTAATTACCCCAGTCGAGTGTATTTACTGAGGCGATGTATGTAGTATGCTGTAACATGTATGTAATGATGTATGTAGTATGCTGTAACAAAGTTTCGCTCAGTTTCGCTTGGTATGTCAATTGATTTTGGCGTTAACATTTATTTCAGCTCTTGCTGAAGTAATGTGATCATAAGACAACCTTGATTATAAATGCCTGACATGTGCCTGTGTTCTTATCTCCACTCTATCTGACGCCCCCCCCCCCCCCGCCCCTCAGCTGGCGGACCAGTTCACTGCCGAGTTCAGTGACCGGCTGGATGGCTACTCGGAGCGCGTGGAGCGCTCCTTCCACCGGACCCTGGGCAGCTGTGAGCCCATCAGCACGGTGTATAACGCCACCACCGTCACACTGTGCAGCAACGTCATCTACCCGTTCGTGAGTGTCGGGGAGTGCGGAAGGTCACTACCATTCAGTCCAGACTCCCTCTCCCTTCCCCTCTTTTTTGCTTGCTGATCGTTCAGCGTATTACTTCCGAAGGTGGTGCTGGTGTGTCATGGCTGTTTATATACGGCGCGTTTTAATTGCGTGTAACATAGATGAAATGTAATCAAGCCTCGTTTTCGAGATGTTAATTACCGCTACAAAGAAAGCAAGTTATGGATAAAGCAAAGAGCTTAGCTCCTCGCCCTGTCTCCCCCCCCCTCCATTCCCCTGTGTGACCCTTTGATGGCCCCTGACCCCCACCTCCCCCACAGAACGCCTTCTGGGCTGCGATCGGCTGGTGTCTGCTGCTATTCATCCCGTGCGTCATCCTCAGCCTAGCGCTGACGCCGCTCTACCGAAAGGCAGAGCCCTTCTCAGACGGCCTCATGGACGCGTGAGTGACTTCTACTAGTCCTAGGAGCGGTAGCTTGTGCCCAATGTGAGAGTTTGGTAAAGAAGCCGACATCAAACTCGGGAGATATAATCGGACTGCACGGTTTTTGCTAGGCTGAAAGAGTCGCCAATTCCTTGTTACTGTTAAATATGTGAACCTGCCTTGCAATGCATACGGCTCCCAAGACACCGGACTATATTTTCTGCAGTAATGATGTGCTGTTTGTTTTGTTGAATATCATCGGCGTCTGTCTAGTTTGACTTTTGTTAGTTTTGATGCCCTCGCCACGTCCTGGTTCCCCGCTACACTCGCGTTGACTGTGGCCGTTTTATTTCAGGGACTATCCGTATGACGCGTACGGGGACCACGATAACATCCCACTGGCTAGGTGAGGAAATGGGCTGTACAACCAACACTAAAGATCGGTGCTAAAATTACGGAGTATAGGTATCGAGCTCTTAATGTTATGCTTCTATTTGAAGTTTTGAGAGAAAAGAGTGACTTTTTCGAAAACAACATTTCAGACGTACTTTTGTTATGTATGACTTTATGGCAGAATCTACTTGGGATTGTTAATCGATATTCGTATACCTAATCCCCAAGTACCAGTGTATTTCTGTCTCATGTCGCACCCCTCCTCTGACCCTCCGCTGCACCTCGTGCAGTGTGCGCGGCAGCGGCGGCGAGCGGCGTCGGGGCCGGTCCAACGACCTCAGTCGCGGTGGCTACAGTCCCGAGTCGCCCTCCTACTCGGCCATTCCGCCGCGGGGTCAGCTGTACCCACTGGGTGCCACCGGGGTGCACACGGAGGACACCGAGCCCAAGGCGCCGCCCATGTGAGTATCGGGAGGGGGTGGGGGATGGATGTACCCGCTGGGTGCCACCGGGGTGCATACGGAGGATACGGAGCCCAAGGCGCCGCCCATGTGAGTACGGGAGGGAGAGGCAGATGTACCCACTGGGTGTGGACGCGGAGTAAAGGGCGACGCTCATGTGATTGCTGGGAGCAGCGAGAAAACAATGATTTGCCATCAGCTGCACAGTCTGGGTGCCGCATCTGGAGAATGGGAGGAAGCTGCCGAGCAAAGGCAATACAATTAAGGTGCTGACCTTTGAATTATCCGCCGTGACATGTGACCTGTGACCTCTGTCGTCACCAATGACCTCTGCCGTGACCTGTGACCTCTTTTCTGACCTGTGAACTGTGACCTTTGATGTGCCCTATGACCTCTGCTGTGACCTATAACCTCTGTCGTCACCTATGACCTCTGCCGTGACCTATAACCTCCACCGTGATCTTTGTTTGACCTCTTCCGTAACCTGTGCCCTTTGCCATGCCCTCAGGTGGGATATGACGATGACCGGAGGCCCGCCGGGCTACCCGGACAGCCCTCAGCCCACCCGGGAGCACCCGCCGCCCTACAGCCCCTCGGAGACACCGTAAGTACGAGCGGCGAGCTGTTGACGATAATGCGCGTAGAACCGATACCTAGTTGGCGACCGTTGCCTAGGAAGTTGAGACTACGTAGTGGAATAGAGTGGTTATAGTTAATAGTGATTAAACGAAACGTAATCAATTAATTAAATGTGTCAGGATTTCGTGTTCGACAGTTCAATACTATCGACCTTTATCCTAGTTAGAACTGGTGTGTATAAAAAAATAATAAATAAATAAATGAATAAATAAATAGATAAATAAATAAAACATGTGCATGCACTGTACTAAATAGCAAACATTTGTCGTTGGTATCGGCAGTCTTCCATGTTTCGGATCCATATTCTCAGAGCTATGCTTATTCCTATATGAATCTCATGCACCGTTTTTTTTTTTCCGTTCACAGGATGCTGGGCCACGCCTGAGTGATCTGAACGGATCGTATCACCTCTCGGGATCTCTAGCGCTGCCGTCGGATGTATGTATAAAGCACCTTCAGTGTCAGGGAGGCACCAGCACACCACAGGCCCAGGGCGACTCTAGCAAAAGTGGGGGGCTGCTGATCTGACCCTAACTCGACCTGGCGCACGAACCAGCGCTGGGGCGGCGGTGGCGGCCATTGATCAATCATTGTGTTACGTGTGCGCTTCGCTTCAAGTGTGGCATCATGAACATCATCTATCTCAAGCCGTCACCGCCTGGACACGACTTGAGAGACTGAATTTCATCGCTCCGCTCATGCTCAGGTGCCTCGTGCTGAGTGTCTCCCAGGGACTGCAGAGGGTGAATGAAAGGCATTGAAGGCTGGAAGGCTGGATTTGGAACCCGGTCGGCTCGAAGGAAGAGGTCAAAGTGATGTTTAGAGAACTGGACCAGTACCTTGCCCAGTGACTGTTGTATCTTGTCTCTCTGTCTCCTCGAGGAAAGGGAGACAAGCTGTGATATTGAGTGATATGCTCTACCGTTGAACCAGAGACAAAACTGGACGATTTGACATCATAGACGTATCCATTGGATTCCTCTGCACCGGAATCCGGCGATCCAAGAGCGATCTTTGAGCACGGGCGAGGCTTTTTCTTAGCTCATCGAGCTTCCGTTTGAGAAACTTGGAGAAGGCTTCGCTGAACTACAATCGTGATCTGTGAGAGCATTGAGGGTTATGTGCCGTCAGATACATTTGCAACCGGTTTGGTAGTGTGGGGTTTTTCATCTGGGTGCTACAGCTTACATCTTCGTGTTAGATGTTTTGTTCAATCAAAACTTGGCCTACCATGCGTTAGTATGATCATGATTGCGTGAGGGAGTGAACGAGTGTTTTAAGGAGACGCAAATGAATGTGTTTTTAGTGCTTGTCATTATCGTCGTACTATGATGAGTCTTGACTTGTGGAATGTTTTGTGCTCCAGTGAACATGATAAAGCCGTTTTATCGCCCATTGTATATAACCGTAGGGTCGATCGATCGATAGTTGACCATAATTGTCTCTCCACTTCTAAGCGTGCCTAGAAATTAGAACTCTGGACTGTAAATACCCATAGTGCCAGATTCATGTAACATGCTCGGAATATGTACGAACGTCGAATGCCTCGCGTTTGTGTCTCCATACTACCAGTGCTGCGCAGAAGGCGTATTTTTGATACGTGCCTGTATATATGAAGCGGAAACGGTGTAGCATATTGTGTTTATCATGAAGTGAGCTCAACACCGTCGAAGTTATGGCGGATGATACACTTTGTTCGGGGGGGGGGGACTGCGATCGGCACTGTGATCGTCGGCGTTTACTGCGCAGACAGCGGAATTCCTGGAAGTCCGGTGCTCGTTGTGACGATGTGGAATCGAAACCTCCAATTGGTGATTCGTTGGTCGGAGATGTTATATAAATAAGCGAGTCCGTCATGATTTTCACTGGCATGTGTTTTGTTTCAACTTGCCTTTTGTGACAGACTTCACGATTGGTGTTTGATGCAAATGTGATGTTTTCATTGTTTTTATGACGCTGATTTTTTTACGGAAAGACGTTGCTTTTAGTTGCATGGTGTATTTTTATGTTTGCAGTATGATTGCGAGAAAGTAGCACTAGAAAGGTGGTCGAACTTGTGGGGATTTCATGCAAATGGATGTTTATTGAAATGTAGCCTGTTGGAAGCTGTTTGTTCATGATAGGGTGCGAGTTTCCTAGAGGAGCGTTGGACTTCCGTGATATTGAGCCACCGCATCTGACGACGGTATGCCCGCCTGTGTGTAAATAATATACGGAGCTTTTGCATTACTGCTTTCAACTCGAAAAACTCTGATCTCATCCGAGCAAATATCGTCACAGAAACATCGATTCGGTAGACCGTCCTTGTTTTCACACCCGTCGCCCGGCCGGCGTTATGACGTCGTGTCACGCTCCGTCACTCTGCGTTACCGTGGCGTCACGTCACGCTGACGTAGGGCAAACATGTTATGGCGGGGCGTCAGCTCCGTGACGACAGCGTAACGTACGTGTGACGGGCGGACCGTCACTCTCGCGTGTGACGGCTTGCCGTTGCATGTGACGGTATGACAGTCTGGTTGTTTTCTGCGCTCTTTGAGAGCGGCACAGGCCTAGCGCTGGCTCAGTTGGCTAGCAGACGTCCACTGATGTGGTTGTACACAGACGACGCCGAGCTAAAAACCTTAGAAAGAACGGCGGACTGACATCCTCGTGAAGTGAGAAAGACGGACTGCCTGTCATCCGTTCCGCAACTTCACGAGGCACTACCGAGATCTGCTCGCTGGAGTTCTGAGATTGTCGGCCAGTTTGCCTCACATCTTTGGCTTACGGAACAGTTGGCACTCAGAAAACCTTCCGACTCCCGGCCTCCATTGTTACCAGTCTTGTGCAACGCTTTCCCTTCTGTTCATTCCTTATCGTTTCAAAGAACAGGAACTGTTTTCATTTGGAGCACGATTACGGTTTCATTCCATCATCCTCATGTTTGTACCCGTCTGTAAAAGCGTCTAGCCTTCAGCAAACTGCTCCCAAGAAGCTGTGTGCTGTTTCGTACGTTCGAACTACGCTCGTTCTCGGAGTAATTGTCGCTCCGCCTCAGAGAATTCAACATGCGCTTCAATCTGCACATGATGCTGTTGGTGGCGTTGCTAACAGTAGCGTTCTTCGCCACAAGTTCGCGTGCCGCACCTGCAGAAAAGACCGATGACAAAGTTCCGGAGCCAGGTAAGAGCAAGAGCAAACCAAGGTTGCCCTGTCAATGATGATCGATGGCAGTTTCCCATTCAACTACGTCAACTTCATTCATACTACGTTGTCGTCACTGTAACCCTTTATGCTACAATCGACGCACAATTTCCTCATGAAGCAGCCAAATTGTTTTTGGTGACGATAACTTGGTGTTTCACCAGTTATCCACAGACTGACCTAGCTGACCTGACGACCTTTCTGTCACGCAGAGCCTAAGCCGCCGGTGCGTTTGTATCTGGAAGTCCCGGCGCCTGAGGGGCCACCGGTGCCCTTCATGGGAACAAGGAACTGACACCATTCGACAATCTGGGAGTCTCGCGGACACGGAGGTAATCGGGAGGAAGCAGGAACGCAAAAGGGGCCATCAGACGGTGTTCAAAGCCGAGAAGATGTTAGAATCCTCTATGAATTGAAATAATTTGTATTATCTGCTCCCAGTTGACGTGTGGATGATGATATGTCTATCACATGCTACCGATTGTCCATTATCTCGATTCTGCGGAGTCACGAATAGGATTGATTACTGCTAAGTGAACAGACCGCTGGTCCCAACCCCGCTACGGTCGATAATATAACCCTCGGTCCGCTGTGTCGCTTGCAATGCCGATTATCTGCGCATTGCGGGGCAATGTGTCACTCGCGATACTTTGAAAGTCTCCTGTTTGCTGCACTGTCGTTCAGCTTTTATCGCAAGTCACATGTCATAAACGCCCTAGTGAGACGATCGACAAGCTCCCCTTGTCGGGGAACCGCCGGGGAACACCGCAGTGCCGACATTATGTGAGCGATGTCTTGGTAGGCTATGATCGTGTAAGCGTGTCTGAAGCTCGGCCTGTCGTTGCCTGAAGATGGGCAACGACAGATGGGGCATCTGTCGTTGTTTGCTGTTTATGTGCCTGTCGCCGTTTTCAGGGGCGGTGATGAGTCAGTAAACTTAAAACGGGAGGGGGAAGCGTATGACAAGATGCAAACCAAACGAATTCACACGATGGTGTATTGGCTACAACACAGCCTACTTGGCGAGGTCACGACACGACAGCAAAGACTACAACATCTACAGCACATGGTAACTCTACAACATGGTGTACTTGGCTAACACAGTAGGCAGTTTCAGTTGATGGGAGGGCTAAACATATTCACTGAACAGTGAACACCAACGAGCACATGATAAACATTTAAAGCGCACGAAGATAAAGACAAGAGGGGCAAATTTGGATAGACTTGGAAGTCCGTAGTATCGACAAGTGTATGCGATACTTGTACGGAACCATTGCACAAGGATAGCCAGGTTGAAGCTAAGGATACATGGCATTGCCCTGAGAACGTTTTGGTCGTACAAGAAAACGCTGTGGGAAAGTATAAGTACATGCCGGATTTCAGAACCTTTGAAAGCGGCGAACGGTTGAAGACATTTCATCGCACTCAAGGCTCCACATCGAGGTACCAATGAATGGTCCTATTTTTACATCTCAGCCCGACCACAAATGCATTCAAATTTATCCCTGATATTACTTATTCATGTTTCTACTGAAACATGAACCAACCCGAACGGTTCAACCCGAACGCAACCCGAAGCGGTTCAACCCGAACGCATCGTAATTTGTCATCCACAGAAAGGGGAGAACGGAGGACAGCGTGGCTGCAAAATTTCATCGCTTGTGTTCCAGTTCGCAGTTCACTCTACAGCCAGAGCTTCGGAAAACAGCAATCCTAACTGTGGCATGAATTTGACACAGGTTTTGACACATAAAGTTAAAATGTCAAAAGGAAGGTCTGCAGGAAAAGTCTCTTAATTAATTAAGCAGCCTGGTACGATAAATATCACGCCGTTTGTTCTTAGAGCCATGAACTGATTTAAGCACCAGCATCTGGATTAACAGCAAGAAACATCGAGTCCGTCTACCAGGAGAAATTCCAACAAAGCAGACATACATCTCACATTAACCTACGAAATCATGGTAAAGTAAGTCACAACCAAAATAAATAACCATCAAAGTCCTCTCGCAACCTTCCTTCCTATCCGCCAGAAAATAGACCATTCTGATCACAGATTACACGCACGCGCCTATCCACAGCGAGCCCGCACACAAACACATCGGATCACTAGCGTACAGATCACAGAGAAAGCAACCGACACCACACCTGGCAAAAATCACCAACAGAAAGAGAAGGACGGGTGCCACATCACCAGGACGCTCGTTGTCAACATTCGTTCACATTGCAACGGGATTAGGACGTTTCATCAACAGAGCTACAGCTTTGTAACGGTATACAGTACCATTGATTGCATTGCGGCATATTCCAGCAGTTTTTTTTTTTCAACAATAAGACACAGTGCAAGCTATTATAGCCGACATTTAGCCAACAACCTATGAACACCAATTACTGCCATCAATATCGTCGTTTTGTACATTGATAAGCGCAATTGGACGCCCGTGGGCCTCGAAAACGACATCAATAAATAGCATTTCAGCTTCGAGGGCGGAAAAACGCCCGATTAAAACACGAATTTCCTTAAGCTCCCAAAACAGGGTAAGGGAAGTGCACCACCAATCACCCACAATCATTTGGTGCAACACCAACTCTACAGTTAAAAACACCAAAATAACCACTAAATCACTATCATATGCAACGTGACACTAATTAACACCAGTTACTAGTTACGTCACGATAATAAGCTCTGGTGTACTGGCGGGATAATTATGATCTCCCAAGAACACAACGGCGAGGTCCTCAACCAGCCAGCAGTCCCAAATAATAAGCGCCTAGCAGGCCCCGCTCGTAACTGCGACCAGCAACCAGGCTGACTAAAGGCCAAGGCGACAGGACCCTGTTCGGTGTAACCGCTTCCATATCGTAGTGTAGCATCTTTCCTACCATCCCACCGTCGCTACTAGTTCTCACCTGCGGCTCTTAACTTCTTGTCTCACTTCTTGACTCACCAACTAGGCTACCTTCCTAAGCTACACCTCCAGCCAGGTTAACACATACCCTGTCTCAGCCCAGCGCGACCGGCCAGAGCTCTTACCGCTGCCGACATTACGCCCGTCCAATGGGCGTACTCTACCTACTGGTCTCCAGCGTTATAACTCGTCCATGGAGCCTCCAACGCCGTTCGCCCACGGCTTTGGCACGTGTGCCTCGAGGAGGTAGGTCATCACCGACCTGAGAGAGAGAGGGGGAGGAGTCAGCACAGACGATCGGGGGGGGGGGGGGGGGGTCAAAGTGGGGGTCCGTCAAAGAGCAGAAGCAGATCGGATCCGTGGGTGGTTGTAGCGTCAAGGTCAGGCCAGACATTCCACACCTAAGAGTCTAGTTACAACTGGTGCAATTGCGGAAGATATCAGCGGCAGGTTCTAAGCAATGTTGCGAGGCAACAACATCAACAACGGCAACAATAACAAACATCAACACCGAAGGCGGAGTGTATGTGATTTCACGAAATATATTGATCTACAGAACCCAGAGTTTTGCTGTAGGTTCAGCCTCAGGCAGAGCACTCGAGTGACTCAACACAAAATTATTGCAGTGTGAAACCGTCTGCAAGCAATACATAACACCGCCTTAGACGGCGCTTATCATGTTTTATTGGTAGAAAGGGCATTACTTATCAGCTATTCGTCGGTTCTTGATAGCTTTACCCAAAGCTTTGCCAGGTTATTTGAAGATAGCACATGGTAAGGACTTCTCTTTCTTACGCTGTCGTCTCTCTCTCTCTCTCTCTCTCTCTCTCTCTCTCTCTCTCTCTCTCTCTCTCTCTCTCTCTCTCTCTCTCTCTCTCTCTCTCTCTCTCTCTCTCTCTCTCCCTCTCCCTCTCCCTCTCCCTCTCCCTCTCCCTCTCCCTCTCCCTCTCCCCCTCCCTATCCCCTCTTTCCCACTCACTGATAGTGTATGGTAGCTCCGACCACGACGAACAAATGCCAGACGGCGTGAGCCATCGGCAGGCGGCCGTCCAGCTTGAAGAAAACGACGCCCAGCACGTACACCAGACCGCCGTACTTGAGCTCCGTGACGCCGCTGACGTCAGTCTGACGTCATATAGAGAGGGAGAGAGAGTCGTCAAGCTAGTGCGTACAATACACTGCCGTACTTGAGCTCCGTGATGCCGCTGACGTCATATGTAGAGGGAGAGAGAGAGTCGTCATACATGAATCAAGCTAGTACGTACAATACACTGCCGTACTTGAGCTCCGTGACGCCGCTGACGTCATACAGAGAGAAAACATGACGTCATATATCAGGCTAACACTGCCGTACTCGAGCTCTGTGGCACCGCTCACATCAGTCTGACGTCATATAGAGGAAGTGTAATGTCATATATCAAATTATTAAGCAAGTACACTACGCTACCAGACTCCTTATCTCGGTGACTCCGCATGTTCAAGTGATAGGTGCAATGACAAATTTTGCACATAGACTAATAATGCAGGCGCACATAGAATTATAATGCAGAAGCACCCCACCGAATTCGCAGTTCACAACAGTACGCTCTCTTGTTCCCCGTACTCACCATTTCATAGATGCAGAGCGAGGGTGCTATGGCGATCACCAGGTAGATGAGGGTCTCTAGCCACTTGTACCGCTCGTGGAACAGCTGCTGGTAGAGCACCCCGAGACCGGCCAGGATCCAGATCGCCCACCTGAGGTAGAAGGGGGGGGGGGAGTAAATATGAGGGGGATGGATGACGGGTCTTGTCATGAGTCCGGACACAAATTCAAAATAAGGAGACCAAACCGACCCTGACAGGAGCGAGGAAAGTCAGTGCTGAAAATACGGCTGAAAAAAACACCAGAGGTGTCAACCAAATTGGCCTAAAAAACAAAACATCTTCCGGGCCTGACTCCACCGATGTGTCCCATTGGCCTGGTCTTTGACGTAATATGACCCCACCGGGGATGATTCGAGCTCACTTGAGGTGATCTGACCATGTCACCTAAACTTAGCTGACCCGAGGTGACCTGGCCTTCCGTCTTCCGACCTGAGGTGACCCAACCCTGACCACATAATCTGACCTCACTACAGGACCTAACCTGAACCATCGCTCACCTGAGGTGAACCGACCATCCCGAGTCTGGCACCTCCTTCAGCACCAGCCAGGGTGTGTAGGACGAGGCGATGAAGAAGTAGATGACGCCCCGATCCAGTCGATGGAACACGTCACGCCAAAAGCTGCGGGGACCGCCAGAGGGCAGGGTAAGAGGTGGGGAGAGACGAGAGCGGGACAGAGCAGCGAGAGGTGGGGGGGGGGGAAGGGGGAGAGTGTCAGGGAGAGTCAGTGCGGGGAGAGACGAGAGGAGTGCAGAGTAGCAGAGGGAGGAGAGGGGATGGAAGTAGCGAGACGTGAAACTGCTATCCGGCACAGAGGAAGGCCTGGCTTTCCGGAAGGAAGAGTCAACTATAGGAGAGGTGACAGCAGCAAAGAAGAGCGGGAGGGGGTAGCACAAACAGCCCAGATATGTTAGCCAGCATACAAAGCAAACAGCATTAACTGTAGAGGAAAATAGATAGAGCTCGCTGAATGCTACAGGTCTCGCCAAATGGCATATTCCACATAAATATATAAACATATAGCATGATGGAAGCCATCCGTAACGAGAAAATACGAGAGTAAACAGAATATTCGAAAACAAACAAAACGCAAACATTCTCTTTAAAGTTTAATCTATATATGCGTGCATACAACTGCTGAAAATCGACTAACCAGATAATTTTCATTCATATTTTGCTTAGGTAACTCGTGATTATGCATGTCATCCCTTCATTCCATTTCACCCCATAAGACCTTATGTGGCAAGTTGTGAGTAAATGAAAGCACCTCCATTCAAACAACAGAGCAATCAAAGCCGAAACAAGCATGGCATGATGAACAATCCCAAAGTGAGTGCTCACAAGTTGGCAGGCATAACATTAAAAAGCGTCCAAGAGTAGTAGCAAACTTATTTGAAGGTTAATCAGGGTGCGGGCCATGCCGATTTTCATGAAAGGCAATTGAAAAAGAAACGAGATAGTTACCAACAAGATCAAAAGAGTTATATCACAGAGTCCTGAAATAACACACAGGCAGACATCACAGCCGAAACACGCATTAGTTTTGTTACACCGTCAACCACAACAAAACACTGGCGAGCCACTACAATCGAGCAGCAAATAGCATTACCGTTAAATTGACACAATGATCCCGACTGCTAGTGTTGTACACTCACTTTGCAACGTTACTGTTAAAGAAGAAGCTAGTGAGCGACAAATTTTCTACATTGATATTATCAGACCATTGAAGACTGAAGTACACCACACAACAAAGCAGGCAACACAGATCTAAACATAAACTATCTAAACAAGAAACAAGCGATGAATCTCACCTATCCCGATAGGCGAATGAGATCAGATGGAAGACGGTGGATACGGAGAACAGGAGAATCAACGCCGAGCCGTAGATGACGCTAGCGTAGGCCTCGTAGTACACATCGGATTCTCGGTATAGGCTCAGAGCGAAGAAGATGCTCGGTAGTATCCACACCTGCGAGAAAATAAAATGAACAGAGTCCACGTAAAATGTAATATGCAAAATCATACTACACACTTAACGCAACCAAAGATGCAATGAGTGAAAATAAAGTGATAAACACTATCGACGGATTTCGGAGTGGCAGCGTTCAGCTTGAAATGCACGAAGTCCTATCGAGAGGGAGTCCCTGCTCATCCCCTGGAGTGCACAGCACAATGCTCGATAAGATTCGTATGATGGTGCACAATCAACGAACCCCTGCTGCGTTTAACTCTTCTGACTTGACACCCCAAGCTCCGTCGATGAACCGTTCCTCCGCTGGAAAAAGGGCTTATCAATAACAGGCAATGCCTGAGTGGCCCGATCCAAGAGGCAAAATTCAACCAGAATCCATCCGTAACTTAATCCCATCCGAAGTCTCATAGAGCTTTATCCCGAATCAATATCCGACAAGAGAACTGACCCTACACTTTCTGCTAAGCGTCCCCTCCAACTGCAAACTTTTTCTTTATAATAAACCTAGCTCAAACGTTTTGATAACTGTTTACGGAGCGAGAGCTCACGCTAAGCAGAGCTCGTTTCTTACCCCGACCCCAACCGACCGATCGGGCTATTCCGGGCGATAGGGGAAATTCGGATGCCAAAAATTAGCCCGTCTATCTACTCGCAGACTTGAACTGGTTCCCACCAGACCAACTGCAAACCAGCCCCAGCAGGTGCCTCCTATAGCGAGCGCCGGAGGGCCTAGGGAGGCCCAACGCTATAGGAAATGAAATACGGGACAGAACTAACTACTAAGATACATTTGTGCCTACGAGTCATGTAAAACATGACTCATAAGTGTCTGTAAGACATACCCCATGAGTGATGATGTTGGCAATGTGTTCCACATCGGTCGGCTTGTAGGCTTCTCCGTGACGGCCACGCTCGTTCTTCCATTTGATCCTGCAAAGAGAATGTTGTCAGCGATAAATAAGAGCGGAATAATCGTTATCAATCACTCATGGTGCAGAGCATGAGCATGGCATGACAGTCAAACAATTCTCAAAGAACAGAAATGTTTTGGAGCAAACAAAATCTATATTATTAGTGCCAGGGAAATAATTTAGCTATCACCTGGAAAAGGTTTAGAAATTTCTCTTCTAAGTTCCTGATGAACAAAGGAACAAATTTTGCACCATTCACAAAAATCAAATCAGAACCCATACCTAACCCAAATTACAGTTGACTGTCTAACTTACTGTCTCAAGTTGTGCTTGACATCCAAAAGCCAGTACTGGAGGGTACTTATGCTGTGTCCCTTTACCATGATGTCATGCACCTGCAAAGAAGACACCAAGTAAGACAATATTGGGCATTGGCACCAAACTAACACTGTGTTTGTTCCTCACTGCCCCAGCTGATCAATGAAATAAGTGTGTTCCATTGATACCAGGTTTACATGGGCATGACATTAAAGGGACCCTCCCACCTTCAAAAAAGTTAATGAATTGGCATGAAAGTGACGTCGCTCGGTTCAGAAAGAGCGAAAACGAATATCTACCAAATTTCATCGAAAAATATTCACTGGTTTTCAAGATATTAGACTTTTACGATTGTTTACTTTTTGGGATCTCCGCTGTTCCTAGCGACTTTATTTGAAAGTGCGGCATTTGTTGCGCGCAAAGCAGCATATACCACCGCGTGCTACAAAACGTTTTAGTCAAACATTTAAAAATCGTTAGATATCTGCGCTGACGTCACACATTCAGAGGGGTATTCCTAAGCATTAGCCCCTCTGAATCAAAATGCTGCAATTTTGAAATTCAATATTTCCGATTTAAGGCATTTCTCGATGTTGTGAGTGCCGAAACCGGTAATTGTGAGCCAGGGACCCCTTTTTGGCTATCTCAACTCAAATCTAATGTTAAGGTGGGAGGGTCCCTTTAAAGGGTCTTTTCTCATGGCTCCTCCAACCTCCTATAAGTTCCTCTGACCTCTCATTAAAAAAACTGTTCCCATCAATCCTCTTAACTATAGTTCGTTTTTTTCAAAAGGACTCTGGCTCCAAGTATGTTTTTCGAACAAGCATGTGTTTTAGCGAGCAAAACGGGCAAAAACTGAACCTGAGAAACTCGAACGTTGCCTTATTTTAACATGTGAATTATTCCCGATAAATTACATACGTGCGTTTTCGAACTTAACAAGAGAACAGTGGTGACGTCATGCTGTGGAACTTGCATTGCAATGTAACGTATACTTATCATGGAAAGAACTGCTTACTCGATTCGGGCCTCGTTAACAGTGAAAAACGAGGTTTTTCAAAAATTTGTTGGCAGTTAATGCCTTCGTACTGACATTGGTTGCCAGCTGCCACCAGCGATGTCATCATGATATGCTCATTTTTGAAGACACAATTAACATGTATTTACCGAGCACAATTTGAAATCGATCATTTTTACGGTAAGAAATTCTTAGCCAGACGCTGAAGCTGCCAAAACTCACGTGAGAGCTTCGATAATGAACTTGGAGCCAGCGTCCTTTTAAAAAAAACGAACTATAAATGTTTCTCTCAAGTCTCAATCCCTCTTCTTAACTCCTCCCCCTAATCCCAAATGATTTGTATTTTGGGAGGGGACTAGTCACTAGTGTGAATGTGGAAACATGTTGACACACAATACAAATGTTTATTGCTCATGAGTGATATTTGAGTAACGTGCAAGTCACCGTGGTGCAAACATTACTGGAGATTAGGGGCAATTAGGGGAGCCGTATTTTTAAACAGAAGTTTCCTTAATTTCCGCAAGGCTGTAGGGATCATCTACGCGATTTGTCATCTATGCGATTTGTCGTTTCATGTTGTCATTTTCATTAATTGTCGCCGCTTTATTAATCAATCTGTTACCTGTTGTCAATTGCGCGTCAAGTTTGTTGGCCGGCCTCAACCTTCCTAGTAACCGCTGTGCCATACGCTTTAGAACATATCGTGCAAAGGTCACGGCGGCACCCCTGAGGCGGCCGCTGCCCGTACGTTTACGAGCCCATTGTCGTGACGTCACGCCTGTGAACAAAGGTCACGGTAGGGGCTCTCCCGGCAGCCGGACGGTGACTCATACGTTGAGCTTGTCTCTCGCCGCGCCTGCGGGCATATTGGTAGTACTAGGGACGGCCAGCATATGACCGCGGTTTTCGGCGACATTGTCAATTCGTTTTTCGACTCTGCTGTTCGCTGCAAGACCAATACACATAGAAAACGGCTCGGGCATTTGGAGAAGAGCGGCTACTCTGAGGCGATGGAAGAACACGGAGATTCACACAAACGACCTGACTAGGTTGCACCGGCCACAGTCGACCGAGGTGGGCTTCCGCGCCCTTAAAGACGCCTCTGACTGGCCATTGCGCTGACACCCTGGTCGGACCACGGTCATTGATCGGACCCTGCCACTGGTTCGTGCTCAGGCTGCCTTAGCGGGTAGACCTGCTCGACCAGACGCCCCACTGGTGGGCGAGTGCTCGGTTCCGACTTTCACCGCCGGTCCAACAGCGTTCTGCTGGTTCCCGCCGATCCGGTTACGACACCGCAAGTGCCGTACCGACTCGGGCGTCCCAGGTGGGCGTAACGGTTACCACACCAGTTCGCGACCCCCAGGCTCTGTCAGCCGTCGTACGGCTCTCGGACGGACACTCTAATAGATCAGCCACAGATCAATAGGTTGTCACGGACCGTCCGTCCAGCCACGCGCTACCCACAGCGCAGTACGACAATTGGTGACCCCGACGTGATCTCCGTTGTTCGACCTTAGCCTCTCGTCATGCCCGCGGACAGCGCACAGTCCGGCGCCGCAGCTCAAGACCCAGCCAGCGTTCCAGCTTCAGCCTCCGAGTCAACTCATCGGCCCATGGCTAGCTTCCGGCTACCACCATACTCTCCGGAAGAGCCCGACCTGTGGCTACTGCAGGTGCAGTGCGCTTTCGACGTCAGCGGGGTCGACTCCGACGAGCTGAGGTTTAAGCTCCTCGTCGCAAACCTCCCCGCCAACATCGCCGTCCAGGTCAAGGACGTCATCCGGTCATCTCGGTCTTTTGACGTGCTGTGTGCGGCGCTCCAAGCCCGCCTAGCACAGTCACGCGCCGACCGACTACAAGCCCTGCTCGGCCGCCAGCAGCTCGGCGATCAGAAGCCGACGGCGCTGTTGCGTTCAATGCGCAACGAGCTAGCCGCAGCCGGGGACGCCCCGGTTGATACGGAGCTCTTCCGTACCCTATTTCAACAACGGCTACCGCAGCCCGTCCGTGCTGCCCTCGCCCTCCTGCCAGCCGACAGCACGCTTGACGCACTGGCAGAAGCGGCCGACCGGTATCTGGAAGCTAGCGGACCGGACCCACGGCTATCAGCGATCGCGGCACAGCCGTGCACACAGCCGGCACCGCCCATCGCTGCTGCAGTGACAGCCCCAGCGCCAGCTGCAACCCCTGCGCTGGACACCGTCATCGCCTCCCTGGTCGCTAAGATGGAGCGCCTGGAGGCCAGCAACCGACGACTCGAGGACGTCGTGCGACGCGACCGCAGCCGTTCCCGGCCGCGCCAGGCGTCTCGCCAGTCACGCCGCCCGTCACCGGCTCGTCCTTCAACGCCGCCGCACGACGACACGCTGTGTTGGTACCACCAGCGATTCGGCGCCCAAGCGCGCCGATGCAAGCTGCCGTGCTCCTGGATCGCCTCGGAAAACTGAGGCGCCCCGTGCTGATGGCGCAAAGCACGGGCGCCCCTCCCGCCGCGCCACTCCTCTTCGTGAGGGACACGGAGACGGACCGGCAATTTCTAGTCGACACCGGGGCGCAGGTCAGCGTGCTGCCTCGCCGCTGCCTGCCCAACGGGTCTACGCTGACCCCTGCTCCTGTCGGCCAGCAGCTCGTCGCGGCAAACGGCTCACCGATCGCGGTGCACGGCACCTGCCTGCTGGACGTCACCTTGAGTCAGCAGCACCGCCTGAAACATCGATTCTTCGTCACTGACGTCACCACACCCATCTTGGGCACCGACTTCCTGGCCGCACATCACCTCGTCGTGGACGTTGCCAACCAGCGTCTCCTGCGGGACGGCACCGTCTGCGCCAGCGCCGAGCGGTCAAGGCTGTGCTCCATCGGAGTTCGTCTCGTCCGGGAGCAGGCTGCTGCTCGCTTCGCAGCTGTCCTCGCCCGGTACCCGGATGTGACCTCACCAAAACCTGGACCAACACCGGTGAAGCACAACGTGACGCACCACATCGTCACCAAGGGTCCACCGGTGTACCAGCGGCCACGACGCCTCCCGCCGGAGCGCCTTCAAATCGCACGTGCCGAGTTCAACAAGATGCTCCAGCAAGGCACCATTCGACCGTCCAGCAGCAGCAACAGCGGCAACAGCAGCAGCAGCAGCAGCAGCAGCAGCAGCAGCAGCAACAGCAGCAACAGCAGCAGCAGCAGCAGCAGAGGCAACAGCAGCAATACCGGCTCCTCACTGCGGCTTCCCGGCGAGTTCTTCATCAGCAGCCAAGCCTCAGCAGCATCACCGGCCGGTTTCGTACAAGACCTGAAGCGCGCCATGTCTCAGGTGCGGCCGACACTCCCACGTCCGGTCCAGCGCGCCACGTACGTCCCGACGGCACTCCAGACGGCGACACACGTCTTCGTGCGCAGGGACTGTCACCGCTACCCGCTGGACGCTCCATACGACGGACCGTTCCCGGTTACCGAAAGGACCACCAAAACCATCACCATCGACCGTCGACAGAAAAAGGAAGTCATCAGCATCGACCGGTGTAAGGCCGCCTTCCTGGAGACGCCAGATGAATCCGGTCATCGACAGCCTGACCTGCCGACTGTGCAGCCGCACGGTACTCAGTCCAGCGGCCCGCCGGCCGCGCCACCGCTCAGCAATGAGCCCAGCGGCCCGGAGCTTCTGATCTACGGTGACGCACCAAATCGCCCTGCAGCCGTCGCTCGGGCTGACGCTGCACCATTGCAGCCTCAGCCGATACTACGGACGACCCGCTCCGGCCGCGTCATACGACCTCCGGTAAGATATCGCCATGTCACTTTTGTCCGCGACATGTCTGGCGAGGGGGTACTGTAGGGATCATCTACGCGATTTGTCATCTATGCGATTTGTCATTTCATGTTGTCATTTTCATTAATTGTCGCCGCTTTATTAATCAATCTGTTACCTGTTGTCAATTGCGCGTCAAGTTTGTTGGCCGGCCTCAACCTTCCTAGTAACCGCTGTGCCATACGCTTTAGAACATATCGTGCAAAGGTCACGGCGGCACCCCTGAGGCGGCCGCTGCCCGTACGTTTACGAGCCCATTGTCGTGACGTCACGCCTGTGAACAAAGGTCACGGTAGGGGCTCTCCCGGCAGCCGGACGGTGACTCATACGTTGAGCTTGTCTCTCGCCGCGCCTGCGGGCATATTGGTAGTACTAGGGACGGCCAGCATATGACCGCGGTTTTCGGCGACATTGTCAATTCGTTTTTCGACTCTGCTGTTCGCTGCAAGACCAATACACATAGAAAACGGCTCGGGCATTTGGAGAAGAGCGGCTACTCTGAGGCGATGGAAGAACACGGAGATTCACACAAACGACCTGACTAGGTTGCACCGGCCACAGTCGACCGAGGTGGGCTTCCGCGCCCTTAAAGACGCCTCTGACTGGCCATTGCGCTGACACCCTGGTCGGACCACGGTCATTGATCGGACCCTGCCACTGGTTCGTGCTCAGGCTGCCTTAGCGGGTAGACCTGCTCGACCAGACGCCCCACTGGTGGGCGAGTGCTCGGTTCCGACTTTCACCGCCGGTCCAACAGCGTTCTGCTGGTTCCCGCCGATCCGGTTACGACACCGCAAGTGCCGTACCGACTCGGGCGTCCCAGGTGGGCGTAACGGTTACCACACCAGTTCGCGACCCCCAGGCTCTGTCAGCCGTCGTACGGCTCTCGGACGGACACTCTAATAGATCAGCCACAGATCAATAGGTTGTCACGGACCGTCCGTCCAGCCACGCGCTACCCACAGCGCAGTACGACAAGGCGTCCTTTGGGTACATTTGCATCCATTTGCATGTGTACTTTCGGGATTTGTTTACAAATGTGATGGGTAACGGCGCAGCGTAACCGCAGGTTGTTTGAAAAGACAAACACTATTCGTTAGAATTGTGTTTTTCTATTGAAAAACAACCGGAGCGGTCCTTCTCCGGGCTATGTTTGGCATGGTTGGCAGCGAATTGGGGCCTAAACGCGTCGCTCAATCTTCGTAAAAATTTCAGGGTACGGGCTCCCGGCGGTGATCTACCTGATGGCACCGGTCGCTACTCGCTCAGAAATCTTTTGCGCGTGGCACGTGCAATTCCATTTTTCCCATAGTAAGTCAATGGGGCTTTGAGACACTTTTTGCGCGATCGCGAATGGCGGAAAAAATAGCCGTAGAAGGGGTGGTTTGGTTCCCACCGTCTCGTAGCCCACACGTTCAGGTGCACGCCCGTGTGCGCGGTGTACCCGTCAGAACTCATTAACTTGAGCTGCACGACTTTGAAGTTGAACTTTTTTCGCTCCCCATGTAAAGTCAATGGGCGTTTTTGCAGAGACATTTTCATTCGCTCATTGTACAAAATTATATGATACGATTTTGTTTAAACTTGCAGGACTTGTTGAGAACAGGTCGCAGAACATGTTGTGATGCTTCTTTAAGCTGTGCAAATTCGTTTCTTCTTTTTAACCTCGTTTAAAAAAGAAAAAATTTAACATGGAAAGTCAATGGGAGCGTCTTTGTTGCTTAATAACTTTTTACAGTTGAGATATATTTAAGTGAAAAGTTGATAGGTTATACAAATTTTGATGCTCTTTCCAGTGATATAGAACGTCATTGCACGTTGTGCCGTTTTCGAGAAATTTAGTAAAAAAGCACGACATTACCGAGATTTGAGCTCACACCTATTATGGCCTTGGCTCAGACAGTATACGAACAGGTGACAGGGATACCTCCCATAGAAGGATGCGACACGAATTTAATGCTAAATATTAGCGGCCGGCCGCCGTGGGGACGTTTTTGCACGACTTATATCTCCGCAGCCACTGGACCGATACACTTGCGGTTTTTTGTGTGGGGTAGGGTATACCCTTCTTACAAGTATTTTACTATGCACGATGCATGCGGGTGACCCCTACTGCACGTGACACGTGTACAGCGGAGAGGTGTCACTTTTGTTGTAATGACAATACCACGGTAATTCCTGAGGAGATTCTGCTGAAACTACACAAGGATGTAGGCACACACTGGGCCATGCCTTTCCATGTGCTACGGCTGGGGTGCAACTGCACGTGCGCGCGTGCAGGGCGACGCTTCCAGATCTCGAGAACGGCCTGGCCGATTGAGTTCAAATTTGGTACACCGCTAGAGACCGGTTAGTAGGGTGCCGTGCACAAGTCAGATGGATCCATTTTGCACGTGCGCACGTGCAGGCTGACGCTTCCATAGCTAAAGACTGGCTGGACCGACTGTGCTCAAATTTGGCATACCACTAGAGACTGGGTAGTAGGGTGCTGTGAACAAGTCAGTTAGTATGTATTTTCATGTGCCACGGATGGGGTGCAGCTGCACGTGCGCACGTGTAGGGGTCGCTTCCATATCTTGAAAACGGCTTGGCCGATTGAGCTCAAATTTGGTACACCGCTAGAGACCGGCGGATAGGGTGCCGTGCACAACTCAATAGGGACCCAGCTTGCACGTGCGCACGTGCAGAGTGGAGCTTCCAGATCTCGAAAACGGCTGCCGATTGCACTCAAATTTGGCACACCGCTATAGACCGGCAAATAGGGTGCCGTGCACGTCAGTTTGTAGCACACCCACTCCGGTCTGCACGTGCAATGCTCGTCCTCTCGTTTGGCGGCGGGCGTTTTTGCTGCGCTTACAAAGGTGCTTGCTCAAACAACCTGCGGTCCCGCGATGCGGAGCCCAGCATCGCAGATGCTGGTAGCGGCGTGCCTTCTTCACAAAAAGTATAAATGACTTGATTTCATTGGAAAAGTGAAGTATCTTATTGGCAGTCTATCATTTGCGAGAAGTTGTGGCATTCGTTGGATATTTTATTTATGATTTTATTCAAAATTATCGAAAATTGTAACAAGTACTTGTAAAAATATTTCTTGAACCCAGCACTATACTATTTTCTACAAATATAGCGTGACTGTTTCATTTTATGGCCTCACTTTTTCAATAAGCGCATGATTACGCAAGGCCGGCCAGTGGCAAGGCGGCAAGGCCAGAAAACGGGAGAAATTTTGAGAAAAAAAAACAATTGGTGAGTAAAGGCTTGCTTGCTGAATAAGTTATGTGGCAGCTGATTATAAAATATGTTATTGATTCTGCTGATGCTCTCCACCTTTGTTTTGGTCTCGCGTTGGTGCTTATTTCAATGTGGCCTTTGACAAATGTCCAGCCTGCTTATATATTACTGGATTTTGAATTATTTTGGTGCTTTACCGTTAAGTGCTTTGTGATGCTTATTTTAATTTATATAAATGTGCTTGGAGGGGCTTTTAAGAAGAGTTACAGGCTCAGGCTCAGTTTATATTTGTATTTTAAGTCCTCTCGTTCTTATTTTTGTAGACGATTCTGCGCCAGCACAGTTCCGCCTTAATAAGGCCAGGGCTTGTGCTGCACTGGCAGAGTGCCCCTACACTTATGAGGTCTATTCCAGTATTTCCAGATCACCATACTTTGCAGTATGGTGTCATACTTTACTAGAACCACAGCCCTTAATTGCCAAATTATTCTTTATGGTCATTGTACTGTACCTACCTACTGTTTCATGTCTTGCCCCACTTCTTTACTCATTGAATAGTTCTATGACTGACTCCTATTTTTCATCAGGTATGTGAGCCATGTCAGGTGGTCTACTGGCCCCAAGGGGCCTTTCATGCTTCAGAGTGGGACACCACCCCAGTCTTCTGCTCATAGCAAGCAGGGGGCATTCACATAAGGTCACTCTGAGGTGTTTTAGCCTTGGAAGACAGCAGCAGATGGTGAGTGATACTGGTGATTCTAATGTTTACAAATGTGCTGCAAAAGTTTAAGTTTGTGTTCCTACTAAGTAGATCAGAGGGACAGGGCTGTGATGGAATTAAGGAATGTATACAATATAACTGACACAATATGTTTTGAAATTTGATATAACATTGTTTTCACTTGCCTGATGTTTCTGGCCACCGGTGTTGTTTACCTTCATCTGTGGATCATCATAGATTCTGTTAAGTGACTTACCCAGACCCCAATTCCCAAACTGCAAAGCAGGATAACAGATTCCATGTGCCATATCAGCAGGGGACCAGGATGAAACATTAGCATAGGTGGGCACAGTTTATCAAAATTGTAACTTAATCACTGGTTCTTTCATTACCATGGGTTAGTGCTTTATTTGGCACATCAGCAAGTCACCAACTACAGCCTTGGCATGGTTATCTGGGACAAGGGATCTGCAGGTAGGGACGAGTGACGACGGACGTTTCCAAGACCGGTGTACTGGATCGTCAATCGAAGGCCGGCGGTATCGCTTGGGGCAGATAGCGCTCGAATACGCCCTAAAATACGTATTTCGCCGTTCAATTGTCACAAAAGCTACACAAAATTGCTGGACCAACTTGTTCGGATAGGTTACCAATGTTACGGAGGATCGGAGGAGCTAAAGAACCGACTAAAGAACCGACCGTGTCCAGTCGTGAGGGCACGTTAAACGTTCGAACAAAATTCTGCCATACAACTGGAATTGCGCGATCGGGTGGTGGGGTCAGGGTCAGCACAACAAGCTATGCTTAGTGCGGGCTCTGACTTCTCAAATCCGCCCATTCAACCCGGACTAAATTTATAAAAAAAAACTAAACTGTACCATTGTCACCTCTCCTTCCCTCACCGCAGGCTCTTCGACTGCTCCTCGGCCGCACTGGCCTCACATCGGGCATCACACCATGTGTGGCCGTCCTACCTACACACGCGGGCACTCAGGCGGCCCGTGTCAGCACCTTCAGCGCGCTATGGTCGTCTGAGCGAGGCCCCCAGCGCAGCCGGCCGCCGGTGTCTGATCTGGTGGTGAAACCCAGAGACCTGGACTGGCGGAGCACGGCGCTCGACTGGTCCAGTCTGCACCGACGGTACATGGAGCTGGCCAAAGTCCGGCTCACTGGTAAGTTTTCACTAAATATACCCTGGGTGAGTTGTAGTGGACTAGCGAGAGACTACGATAGCTGGTTAGTCGATGTATTGATACCTGTCCATCCGTGGTTGACCAAACCTTTACCACTCCCGTTACTCGTTATTCGCACAGCGCCTCCGTCGTCAGTCGTCACGTCATCCTGCTACGTCCTCGCACGTTTTAGTCCGTCTTCGTCGCAAATCCGCCCGCTCTGCCACCAAACCCAAAGCGTTCTCATCGAATCTCACATACCATCATTTTTTCCACGTCTCTCATCAACCCTCAAGTTTCTCATCAAACCTCTCACGTTGCACCAATCTTCACGTCTCACCAATCAACACGTCCCTCACCTGCAATCATCTCGCGTTTGTCACCAATTCCCTAACGTCTCTCACCCTCTCACCTCTCCAGGTCTGGTGGTGGTGACAGCCATGGCCGGCTACGCCATGGCCCCGGGCGCCTTCTCTGGTACGACACTAGCCCTGGTGGCCGGGGGTACCCTGCTGACATCCTCTGCCGCCAACACTGTGAACCAGTGGCTGGAGGTACCGTACGACAGTCAGATGGCGCGCACGGCTGCCCGGCCCCTGGTCAGGGGGCACGTCAGGTGAGACATGGGGAAGGAAAGCGCGGGGCAGACTGCTCTGACCGGCTCAGGGACATGTCAGGTGAGGCTGGGAGAGGGGTGGGACTGGTAGGTAACGGTCACGTCAGGGGAAGTATGTGGAGGATGGGTGCGGTATGAAGACTGGCCGCCGGTCAGATCAGGGTTTCGGGGTATGTTGAAGCTCGGAAAGGACCACGGGCATGGAAGGTTTATGATTGCTCAATGCAGCTTACATCTGTGATATTTGTTCTGTATTCGTTTGTATGACAAGTTCCTCGTTGATACAGTTACTTTTTGAGGACAGTTTCAACTTTCACAGTGATGTAATATAGCCATAGTGTAATCTATATTACTATTTGAGGTGACGTAGTTTCTGTCTGTAACCGAGGTCGCGACATGGTGCTACATAGCGCGGGTTACAGATCACACCGTTGCACCTACCGCGCTGAAATTTGCGCAAGTTATAGAACAAGGATGGACAACGTGCCTTTGAGCGGTCTCGGCTCGATCGGATCGATAGCGAACGCGTGGCGCGTGCCCAAAAAGTGCAAATTCGCGTCATAGACTTTACATGTATAAATCGGCTGGCAAAAACGGGCGAAAATGGCTAAATTTGCCCGACACGGGTCCGTTCCCCGTGCAATATCTCGGTAGCCGTGCGCCCGATCGGCACGGGGAAAACAGCATCGTGTAGAGAATCGAACGGGCAATCGAATAGTGTGCGGTGCAGGGGTGGCACGCGCCACGTGCAAGTGTGAGGGCAATTTCATTTCAAAAAGTGCCATTTTAAACGGATTTTGGATTTTATTTTATTTTTCCGTGACCATCAGACTGATAGAGTTGAAACAACGTCAATTGGCAAGAGAAATGTACCGCCTCTCATGGAAAAATTGTGAACAGCTAATTGATCAAAAACAATGTGGAAAAAATCGCTGAATTAAATGGTATTTGTCCATAATGTGCCACTAAAAAGTTACACGGGATTTGCTGCTTAACCTGATACGCTTGACAATTGAAAATGCTATCATTAGAAAGAGCATTCAATTCTCTCCAAGATCCAATCATCACGTTTGCATGACAAGCAACAGTATTCTTAAAAAATATAAATGTTTTAAACCTCTGCAAAACGATTTTTAGCGAAAATTATCTACGCCTTTCATTTGTCTTAAAACTACGCACCTCAATTATAAAGCACATTTGACAGATTCTGAAGTGGAAAGCATGCTTATCAGACACGGGCACCTCGATGCAGTGGATATTTTTTCCACAAACCAAAACGTTTAGCCGTCAAAAAGCAATCGACCGAAATGGATAGATAACCCAACCGACACAAGAACAACCGAACACCCGCCGATCGAAAATATCCCTTTTCGCGTTGCGGAGCACGCGGGTCACCCTAGTAAATAACTATTTATTACACTGTCACTATGGATTACACTATTAGATATTATATTTATTAAATATATATTAGATATTATATTATAATATATTATATTTATTACACTACTAGAGGGACAGCATTACGCGCAGCGTAAAGAGGGACAGCATTACGCGCAGCGTAATGAATCAATTTTCAATAAAATCGGCCCAGTAGCGGCCGAGTTATGGCCAGGATAAATTTGGCGTCTCCTCCTGGCCGGCGGTGCTCTGTTCCGATATTCATTGCCAAAGGTCAGTGACCTTCCGGCTCTGATTTCGCTCAGTTTTGCAAGCGAGGAAACTGAGGCTAATGCGCGTGCTCTCTGATCGGCGACGGCCGCGGCCCAAAATCCCGCAAAGATGCGCCCGCCACGTGCAAACCGGCGAGCGCACCCCCACCAAAATTTAATACGACAAACAGATGCAGGCGTCCGACTTAAGTCCAAAATTTCACCCGCGTAGCCCGCACCGTTCCGGAGCAATAGCCCGCCAAGCGTGACTGACGCGTTACATACATACATACATACATACATACATACGTACAGACGTTTTGATTTTTATATATGTGAATTACACTATGGATATTTATTACACTATGATATAGCAACAGTCGATCAACTGTGAATTTGTATGGGCTCGATAGTAGGTACCTACCCGTCTCTCTGGATACTAGCGTGTTACATAACATGTACGGCCCTCCAGGTACCCCAGGAGTGGTTGGTTGCTAACATCACAATAATCGATCTGTATTGATGAATACATCTAATGGCTGTTGAAAACCATTGCCGAAGTGTTGGCACGAGCCATCTTCTCATTTCTATCGAGTCATTTTACTGGACTGGCCCTGTCATTCAAAATTATTGTACCAAAAACACATCGGCTAACCAACCACTCTTTTGCTGAAGGGCCGTACTTTGCTCCCACACCCAGGATTGCGGAGTCCATAGGTTTTTGGTGACTCCTACTCCAACTCCGACTTTAAATAATCAACCCCGACTCCGACCCCGGGAAGAGTTGTCGACTCCGACCGACTCCGACTCTACAACCATGGCGGGTCTGTAGAGTCGATGAGTTTCTGTGACTCCGACTCCGGCTCCGGGCAGAACTGTCGACTCCGACCGACTCCGACTCCGCAGCCCTGAGTCACTCTCCCCCCTCTCCCCGCCAGTCCGCTGCACGCCGTGACGCTGGCCGGCGTGTGTGTCTCCTCCGGGGTCGGCCTGCTGTACCTGGCCAGTCCGCTGGCGGCGGCCCTGGGCGCGGCCAACTTCCTCCTCTACACGGCCGTGTACACACCGCTGAAGAGGGTCACCATCGCCAATACGTGGGTCGGAGCTGTCGGTGAGTGCAGTGAAGGGAGAGGAGCGGATGGTAGGCTATTGGTGAAGGTGGCAAGGAATGAATCATAAAAATGCTCTTTTCTTTCGTTGTGAAAACGTAGAATGTATTTCAAAAATATGTGTGCATACTGATTTCAGAGTTCATGCTGTAGGTTCAAAATTTGTAGCTATTCTTTGAGTTCAATATTGCTCGATGACAGCGGATTTCTAGCCAATAAGCCGGGGTCCTACGTATCTTTATACCAGCTTTATCTTTGTTTCATGAGTGTGAAGACCACCATGTCATTATCCCAACCACCTGTCTTTTCACTCTCTCACTAACCCCCCTGCTCCCTGCAGTGGGCGGCGTGCCGCCTCTGATGGGCTGGGCTGCCGCCACCGGCTCTTTGGCCCCTGGCGCTTGGCTGCTCGCCGGTCTGCTGTACGCCTGGCAGTTCCCGCACTTTAACGCGCTCTCGTGGAACCTGCGCAAGGACTACGCGCGCGCCGGCTACCGCATCATGGCTGTCACACACCCCGGTAAGATGTGTGAGAGGATAATGTGAGATGTTTGGTTTACTACCTGGAATGGTGCTGCTTAATTATTAAATGCATAGATAACACGAATTCATAATTTTAACATGATTCATCTTATCTATGTCCAATGCAATCTTCAAACATCAGAAAGCGTAAAGCTGCCAACTTGGATTATTATATTTGGGAATCATGCCTGACCTGACCTATGTGGCGTTTTCCCCCACAGACCTGACCCGCCGCGTGGCGCTGCGGTACAGTCTGATGTTGGCCGCCCTTCCGTTTGTGACGTCAGCGTGTGACGTCACCTCGTGGATGTACGCCGTCGACTCGCTGCCCGTCAACGCGTACCTCGTGTATCTGGGTATGTGCGCTGTCAATAGGGAATAGCTTGAATTGGCTGGGGCTCAAAGTTCTGGTCCGGCTAGGATGATAACCGTATATTTTTTTATAATGTTTGGTAATTTTAGAGGGCTCAAATGTTTGTTTGGTGCATGAACTATCTTTTTTATATTTGCAATGCATCTGAAAGTATTCACTATGCATTTCAGGTAGCAATGCTTGTAATAGGTTCTCATGTGTGAAGCCATCGGCGAAACATTAGCTAAGGGTGCAGTTCGCTCAGTTCGAAAAGCTTCGTCATAATTCTACTTTTAGAGATCATCATAGCTCATGTCTCTTTTCTCCTCAACGTATTCCTTTTTCCTGGCATCCTTCATATTCCCTATAATGGGGTATTTTGTAATATTGAGCCCACCCCTATCCAAAACTATCGCTTTGCTATAAATCTTAACACCTCTCCGCCGTCACCCGCAGCGTGGAGGTTCTCCCGTGATCGGGACAGCGGCTCGGCGCGCCGTCTGACCCGCTTCAGCTACGTCCAGCTGACGGCCGGTCTGATCCTGATGTTGCTGGCCAAGCAGCACTACCACCTCTCTGAACCCGAGCCGGAGGCTGAGGCGGGGGCGGTGACAGCGGCGGCAGGCGCGGAGAGAAGAGGCAGGGGAAAGATGGCTGACTGGTGCATCGGCGAGCCGCTTCTGCAAAGAGGATGGGGCCTAGGAGGGATCCTTGCGGTAGCCGAGAGAGAGGAAGGAGGACGCGAGAATGTGTCCTCGCGAGAGGAACGCGTGTCCTCGTCTGCTGTTGGAGCGGAGGAAGAGAGCTCATCTCCCAGAGATGGTCTGGTATTGTTGAAGGAGGCTGATCTAGCACATGAGGACGATGCTGTTATCAGCGAGGACCGCGTCGTTCCGCCTTCCTCCGAACGCCCTCCATCACAGGACGTAGCCACGTAGCAAAAAGTAGTCGGCATTACTAGTGTGGTTTCTGATAACCGGTTTTTCGTGGCACTTGTCTAGTCCCAGTAGCTGCCGTCCTGGCTTGGGAGTGTCATAATATCGACATATCACCTCGGTTCTGCCCTGGGTGTTCAGATCCCCACCGGATGGATGGAGCGCTGTGGATGTCTAAACGGGTGATGATTGTTGAATAGATGTCGCTAGAGATGTATATAGACGGCGCTAGTATCGCGCTGCGGCTGCACGATGTGACATGACAAGGATGCAGCGATGTGCGGGGGAGTGTGTTTACCAAAACGTGTAATGTATGTATTGTACATAGTTTGTTTTCGTCCCCCAAGTGGTAAATATTGATTGATGCGAGTGTTTGATGGGTCTTTTAAGTACGAGCTGTTTGACGATCCATACCGTGGATCATGATGCCTCAAGATATTGATTGCATTTTTTGGCTTATTTTGGATATCCGTGACATTTGACTGGTACTTGCGAAAAAAGACACTTTTACCATTGTTTGTCAATGTCATTCGTCGTTTCTGACAGAATGTAGCAGTGAAACATTTTGTGTAAGCTGGCCATATGACCTCATAAAAATGCACAATACGTTGGTTCCTTCAAAGATGCTTGCTGTCGCTGGTGGACTCATGCTTCAGAAATCGACCATCCCTATGAATGAAATGTCGAGTGAGATGTGTATGTTGACGCAGCGATTGGTGACTGTTGCGTTGAATGGAAATAAATAAACGCAAAGAACCCACGCCAGCCAGATTACGCTACCGTCTCCATTCTCAGCAACGGCGAAGTGAGGTACAGTGGCTGCGTATTGTAGGAGACAATTCTGTTAGGTCATCACAGCAGGAGAGGGATTATTACGGAGCGAGCGAAGCGAGCGGAGTCTTACGTAAAATAACGGAAATTTCTGAGTATGAGCGGCCGGCCGGCCGGCCGTGGTCACGATTCTGCGACGCTTATATCTCAGCAACCACTTGACCGATTTACAGGTGGTAATTTTTGTAGGGTAGCTTCATTCCTTCTACCAAGTATTGCACTATTCCCGATGCATGTGGGTGACCCGTTATGCACGTGCCACGTGCAAAACGATGAGGTGTCACTTTTGTAATTGTTGTAATATCTCGGTAACTACTTGGCCGATTGCGCTGAAAGTTGGCATGCAGGTAGGCACCCACTAGGCAATGCATATCCATGTGCCAGAGTTGGGGTGCTGCTGCCGACGTGCGCACGTGCAGGGGTCGATTCCAGATCTCGAGAACGGCTGGACCGATAGCGCTCAAATTTGGTACATGGCTAGGGACCGGTTAGTAGGGTGCCGTGCAAAAGTCAGTTGGGACCCATTTTGCACGTGCGCACGTGCAGGGTGCCGCTTCCAGATCTCGAGAACGGCTGGGCCGATTGTGCTCAAATTTGGCACATCGCTAGAGACCGGTTAGTAGGGTGCCGTGCACAAGTCAGCTGGAGGTACCCCCTCGAAATTTCGCACGTGCAAGGCTCACCCTCTCGCTCGCTCTGTTAGTCGCCCCAAAAGGCGTTATACTGGTTGCTACGCTTCAAACTGCTACTGTCTACTGATAAATATTTATATTTTGAATATAAATATTGGTTTTTGTGAAAGATGAAGATACGGATAGATGCTCTACGTTTTTTTTAATGCGATTATGAAGATATTGATTTCAAGTTGAATTAATGAATGCACTTGCCTTCAAAGAAATATTTTTAGGGATTTATCAACGCCTGACCAAGGACCGCTGCTTCTAAGTGTTAGTTCAAAAGGTTCAAAATATCTTGCCACTTTTTTCTTAAAAACGATCAAGGTAATAAATGCGTAAAACTATTCTGAGCATTCTCCATTGTTCTCTAAGCCTAGCTCTTACAACATTATTAGATTTTAGATTTTGAGTGAAGGAAAAACTGCGTCTGATAGAGAGAGTTGGTAGCTGAATTTGGTAGCAGCAAAGTGCTTCAGTTATTGCGCAGCAACGACATAAGTGAAGTTTGTTGTCACGTAGCACTTCAGTTCGTTTTGGACCGTGGGTGGCTGTGGTCGTGAAGATGGGTCGGAAGCCGAAGACCGGCCCCGTGCCGTCGAAAATGAACTGTTTACTCAGATATAAATACTTAGTGATTGTCATAGGTGTTCTACTATTTCTGCAAGCTTATCTAGCTTTCACGTTCTTCAATATTGATATTCACCCCGCTGATTCATATCAAAGTGAAGATGGAAGTTCAGTTTCAGTGGAGGAGCAGAAACAAGTAAGTTCTGTGACATTTCGTGTTTTATTTGATGATTTATTGCACATTTTCAGTCATCCTGCACCTGTATAATTGACAGAAATCAACTACAAAATACTTAAAATGGTGCTAGATGAGCAGGGAGAATGGAGATTGGACTGGTGACCGTCGACCGATGTGGTCCGGTAACTTTCATGTGTGGTCCCTACATACTGCGCAGGATGCAGATTGCAGACCATTTTGCTTGATAGCAGTAAAAGGGAAAATGGTCAAGTCATTGATTAGGTCCTGAACTAAGTGTACGCTATTAAGGCTTGATACCCAAGCCAGGCATGTCAGTGTGATCTCCCTAGATTACTTGGTACTACATTCTCATACTCATTTAGGCATATAAATTCACAATATGATTACTAGTATGCCTTACTGATGAGAAATTGAAGTCAGATTCTAAGCTGAGGACTTCGGAATCTGTGACCCAACAGATAATCAATTCAAATTCAATAGAAGGTTGAGGTGCTGACTGTTTTCTCTTATGTGAGTGTGAGGGGTGTTATGGTATGGCTGTCGAAATGCTTAGGTGCACACTTTAGAGATGGTAATTTATTAAGTTTATCTGATAATGACATCTTCCTTTTGTTTTAGGTCATTGCAATTCATGAATCATGTTGAACTTTCAAATGATGTGTCTGTCTCTGTTGTCTGCATGTATATAACGTGAATGTCATTTTCTTTGTTGATTTCAGACAAGGGTTGAGATTGAGAATTGTAATTACTTTTGTTTCACTGTTTGCTGTAATATTAATGTAACCCACAAACTTTGGCATTAGATAATCAGTCTATATGTGGCTTTTTAGTTCCCTCCTTTTTTGATACACTCTTATTTTGATTTACAGTTGCTATTTCCTCTTGCTATGTTTGGCTATACAGTCGACCAGTGTAGATCAATCGACTAGACAATCTGCTGGCATTCAAGTGTTGCAGTATTGTTTTGCTCCTCAAAATTCATTTCAACTTATATGATACCTAGGCTTGGCTTTGATGAAATAGCTTGGAGATATATGACTGATACTTGGCCAGTCTTCTTCCCTACCTTTCATATCATCTTTTCATTTTAGCCTTTACTTTGAGGTTCAAATCTCAACATAGCTCCATACTTGGGTTTTTGTTTTTGTGCTGGCTCCTGTTCTCGTGCCTAGAATATCTTGGACTTTCTTCTCTCATGACATTCTCCCTCACAATTTCGGAATTTTGCATTTGTCTCCAGACGCTGGATCAGGTATCTTATGTTTATGTCGTGCTACGCTGCCTAGTTTGCGGGAACGCATTATAACGTTACATCATAGTTTATCGGGACTACGGTAGGCTGGATTAGCCCGACGGTGGTTGCAAGGGAGAAACTCCTCATCTCCGCTATCCAGCACATCTGCTATCTGATGTCTCACTCTCTCTCTCTCTTTCGCTCTCTCTCTCTTCTCTCTCTCTCTCTCTTTCTCTCTCTCTCTCTCTCTCTCTCTCTCTCTCTCTCTCTCTCTCTCTCTCTCTCTCTGTCTTTCTCTCTCTCTCTCTCTCTCTCTCTCTCTCTCTCTCTCTCTCTCTCTCTCTCTCTCTCTCTCTCTCTCTCTCTCTCTGTCTCTCTCTCTCTCTCTCCACGTCATCATCTTCCGCCACCTCTTCCGACATCTGCCGTCGTCTTCGTTTCCGTATCCAGTCCATACGCATCCCTGTCCCGACTCCTCCCAGCAGGGCGGACGGCGGTAGCGGAGACGTGTACCGTCTTGGCGCCCGCCGTGTCGTGGCGTCCGCCGCCGTGTCACGGCGCGCGGTAGCGGCCGGATGGTGACTGGGCCCGTTATCTGTACTGGCGTCGACCGGAGCACGGCGTGGTGGCGGCCACCGCTGAACTGTGTTGGCGCTACCGTGCGGGGTGGTCAAGCGAGGCGTTCTCAGGCGAGGGCGATGATGTGACGGTTAACGCGGCCTGCGGCAGTTGTTTGTTTGTTGAGGCTTAGAGACGCCTCGACAGTGATGAGTGAGGTCACGCGCACATTGGGGCGTGAACTTTCCCGAAAATACATCATGCAGGAGGTATTCATTGCAGTTAGTTGTCGCTGTACCTAAGTCAACATTTGATTCATGCCTCGAGATGCTTTGTGAAAAACCTGGCCTCCACCGGTCTCTATTTTGCATATACATAGATTGTGTGTTTAGTCGAACGTCAATCCTCGGAAGCGGTGGCTCTATTCCACGTCGTGACGCTGCGCTGATCTGTTGACCAGAGCAGATCTCCTGTCAGAAGATACAAGAAGTCTGGCTGACCGTGTTAAGTATCCTGCCTTCGACCGGTCGTCTGTCTGACGCCCACTGTGCAGACCGGTCATCATTAGGTAGCTAAAGACATCTCAAGGTTGATTAGACGATCGGGACGAGAGGATTTTTACGCCTCGGACCCTGAACGTCGAACGGTTTTATGGTCAACGAGCGAAAAAAGCTCATCTGAAGGTATACAATCATTCGGTGCGGTTTGGCAATGAGCTGTGTCCAAATGTAGGTAATTGCATTGTTCTAATAGGAAGCATTCCATTTTTTTTTTTCTAAGTCACTTGAGCATCCGGCAGTCCCTTGCCCCAAAAACCCGCAATATTACCATTCGCTGTGTGCCATGTTTGCCATCCGCTGTGTGCGATTTTGGACAGTTTGCGCCCTATTCCAGTGACCGCCCGGACGAAACGAGACGTCCCTGCAAAAGACGCTCCGGCCTCCGTCCCCCGTCCTTTGAATGGCCGATGGATCGGCGGCCGTCACCCGCCATTAGCGTTTATCAATACTGCCAACGGCGGTCAATTTATGACACCCAAGGCCCTCCGTTATAAAAAGCCAGCGGCCCTGGGCACCCTCCACACTATATCAACCCGAAATTGGCGTATGGTAAAGGCAAGCTTGGTTCTGATGATTGAAAAAGGTGACCGAAGTACCCTCAATGGACATTAAGGAAAGGTTTTTGAATGTCACTCGTCGCTACGTCCTTCTTATGTGCGTATTTTTCGGATCTTAGACGTGGGCGTCCGTGTGTCGTGTAGGGTAGAATACAGTTCTACGTACACGAACCTATGAATCGAATCACACGAACCAAAAAAAAAACCCGGCAAAACATGATTTTGTATTGACTTGTATTGAAAGTAAGTTACATGCATACTGCGTAACTGGCGAGGCCTGTCAATGGGAAGCTAGACGTTAGTTCAAAGTTTAGCATAGCCAACCGATGTGGTTTGCTGATGACTGTTTAGCTGACAGGTTGGCACATTTGTGCGAGATGCTTTGATAAAATGGTCTAGGAAGTTAAGCCTATTTTCCCAGGGTCTCCCTCGATAATGTAAATCCAATGCTTATTAGAGTGAATCTCGTAACGTTGGACACCGGGTAATCAAATATAATCGAACAACACCAAGATGTTAACACTCCCTAGGTTCATCGTGAAAATGCTATTCGTGAACGGAATATAATGTATTTTTGCACCTAACAACCAAATCATTCCAAGTCATTTGGCATCAAGATAAACGCCAGCGTAGTTCCACTGAGCTACTCTGCTATTCACGTTATTGCAATTGAACAGCACGCCTCGATTATTTTTAGCTCTGACCATTACACTCTAGGACGTTTCATGAGAACAATCGCCTTCAAACTGCCCCTACTGGCCGGTTGTCGGCACTGGTGGCTCGTTTGGTGGTGCTGGCGAACCGTGCTCGTACACCGCGGTCCATCCAGGGGCGTCGACGCGTAAGGAAAACTGGTCCGACTTTTTCTCGGGGGGCCCCCACCGGTGGGGGCCCCCAGGTGTCGCGAGGGCCCCACGAGGCGCAGCAGGGCCCCCGCGAGCCGCAGCGGGGCCCCCGTTGCCGCAGCAGGGGCCCCCGTGGCCGCAGCAGGGCCCCCCGAGAGCCCCAACAGGGGCCCCCCGCGGCCGCAGAAGGGGACCCCGCGGGCCGCAGCAGGGCCCCGCGGTGTCTAGCAGGGCCCCAGAGGCGCAGCAGGGCCCCCGCGGTCTCTAGAAGGGCCCCCCCGAGCCGCAGTAGGGCCCCCGCGGTCTGCAGCAGGGGCCCCCGCGAGCCACAGCAGGGCACCGCCTAGTCGAAAAAGTGGTCCGACTAGTCGGAAAAGTCGGACCGGTGTCGACGCCCCTGGGTCCATCGACGCCGCGCCAGTTCCTGAGAGAAGGCTGATTGGAATCGATCCGGTTATTTCCGAACCGGGGTCCCAGACAATGAGGCTGGATATCGTCTTCGCTATAACTGTGACCGAAACCGAGCCGCGGTGGTCACTATAGTTTCCAAGTGCAGTTGTAAGTGCTTGGTCTTAGTCAGTATGCAGTATTTCATTTGAATATTTGTGCTGCATGTTTGTTCACACATTTTTTATATATAAATTTAGTCAGAACCTTTTGATAGGAACGATTCACAAGGACAGAGCCACCGCTAAGCGAAGCTTGTTGCGGTGACCCTGCCCTCTACCCCAGGGCCTCGTCTAAGGAATTTTCACTGGGGGGGCCAGAGACTGAAGGAGCCAAACCTAGGGTACCCCCAAATCCTGTTTTCTCACCGGATTTAGACCACTTATTTTTCATCACAGCTCTGACACCATGATTTTTTTTTTGAAAACTAAAAAAAAAATAGTAGACCATCCGACTCATGCTTGTATGTATATTAGTTTACAGCCTCCTCACATTGCCTCATCAGACAATAATAATCACACTTCTCGTTGTTGAGCGTGTGTTTGAGTGGCAGTGCCGTGTCTAAGGAATTTGCATGCCGAGTCTTATGTCGAGGGCCCATACGCATTTTTTTAGAACCACATCGGTTTCTGATGGGTCCCTCTGAGCGCTCGATGCCGATCTGTGAGGGCTAATGCCAGCTTCTGGACCTACTTCGGCCTCTATGGTATTGGTAGCCCTCACTGGTTTTATATGATCCATACCAGGCTTTAAGGGTCAATCTGAGTGGAGACCGTATTTTTCCACTAGGGCCCCTCAGACTAGTGTAATGCCTGTGTATCAACTTGGAGACTGATGGCTTCTCAGGTGGGTTCTCCGTAATTGCCGTGGATCTTCCGCTTCGACACAACCTTAAGGTCGTCAGAGGCTATAAACTAAACAAAAATGAAGATAGTAGTGCTTTGAGGCCCGTTGGGACCCGAAGTGGCTGGCATTTGCCCTCCAGGACTCCATGCCGACTTCTTTAGATAATCCAGCTGTCAGAGTTCCCGTCCCCACAGACAGACCACCAATCTGGCATCTGCGCCTACGTACGACCACCCAGAACGGGAGCCTGCTTCATTATGATTAGGAGCTACTCTAGCCGCACACCGGTGACCGTCCAGCCAGAAATTGGACGCCGCATAGCGAGGACGACGATAGGCAAAAACAAGAGATTGACGCCCCGAGGACAGAAACAACAAATTGATACCTAAAGGAGAATTTTTTGCCGGTAGAGCCTTGGACTCCGCGTGGTGAGGGCACGCGTCCCGGTTATAACAGTCCAGGTTCGAAGCGCGACATCGCTCGATCTTTATGAGCCTCCTGGCGAGTATGGTTACGGTTGGTGGCAGGCCGTAGCCATTCGAAGTCAGTGAGGGGACCGGCCGTGCGCGGCTATGTGCATACGTTAAACTTTGGGCTCTAAATTTTGTCATAGATCACGAATTGCGCGATCGGAGGGTAGAGGGCAGGGCCAACGCAAAGCTCTGCTTAGCGGGGGCTCTGTACTTGTGAATCCTTCCATTCAAAAGGTTCGGACTAAATTAATGAAAAAAGAATATCCGGGACACGGAGTTGGGCGCCTGAAAAGACGAAATGTAACGTATTGCTGAGCGAAAAAAAATGGCTCAGGTAAACAAAATAAACACATAACAGCCCTAGGTAACGGGGTATTTCAATGTGCTCACATTGCATCGTTTCGTTTACGCATTTGTTTTTATGTGCACTGACGCCTCGAAATAAAAATTCGATTGCCTTTTGACTATTGCCGCCCCCCCCCCCCCAGTAGGGACTTTTTGCCCTGACTGGGGGGGCCAGGTCGATGACTGCGGGGGTTTAGCCCCCCCAGTTAACATGTTAGACGAGGCCTTGCTCTACCCTCCGATCGCGCAATTCCAGTGGAATTTAGAGTCCAAAGTTTAACGTGCGCTCTTAGCCGCGCACGGCCGGTCCCCTCACTGACTTCGCCTGGCTACGGCCTGCCACCAACCACAACCATACCTGTCAGGAGGCTCATAAACATCGAGCGCCCGTCGCGCTTCGAACCCGGACTGCTATAACCGGGAACGCGCGCTCTCACCACGCGGAGTCCAACGCTCTACCAACTGAGCTACGGGACCGGCTAGTAGATGTTGGAATAGACATTGGAATAGATGTTGATTTTGTTTTGGGCGCAGTCGGTGCCGGCCATTAAGACATTCGGACGTGCACAAATAATCTGGATGAAATTGACCAATAACATGGCAACATGGCACTAATAACACCGAACCCGTAATTTGGTGATATCATCCCCTTTGATTGGCGAGGTCGCTGGCTAACACGATGATATGTATGCTAAACTCACTGTTTGGCGGGGATGGGGTTTTTAAATTTGACCGCAGAAGAGACGCCGCTCACGATAACACGGCAAAAACCAATAACCATGCAAAAGCAATTAGCCTGAGTGCTGGAGATGATCGGTGTCTTCCGAACGACAAGAAACCTTAGCTGCTTTACTAATTGTGTGGTGTTCTTTTTTAATTGGTTTAACCCAGAGTGGAAGTCATCACTGCAGCGAAATGCGATCCGTCGGACTAGAGGATTGCCTTATTTCAAGTCCTGGTACCCACGCACCCACAAGATATCAGTCGTCCCCACGCCCGTGGTATCATATCGTCATGGAAAACAAGCTTCTGAAATTGATATTGCAAACCTTGCCAATATAGAATATGCATAATCCAATCCGTATTTTCCTTGTTTCCTTCTGGAGCACCATTCCTTTCCCTTATCCTCTCTCTCCTAGTCACCGACCCACACTACCCTCGTCGCCCTCGCCACCCCACCGGCTCGTGCAATATGCATTCCTGACCAAACCGTCTGTCCCACTCTGCTGCCGAGTAGCCGATTTCGGTCGGACAAATCACCTGAAAACGACGCCGACCACGGCACCGGACACAGGGACATTTCTGCGGCCAGTTCCCGGCGACATTTCTCCGGACGCCTGGTGGCATTTTCACTCGCCCCGGGGGCAGGCCGGGGTCGTTTCTGCCCCGTGTCGCGCCGGTGTGGGATCGTTCTGGAATGTTCCGTGTCAGGTTCCACACGGATTAGTGTGCCTTCGGAGTGGCTGTGGTGACATGGGCTCGGAGAGGGGTCGGGAAGGGTGATGGTCAGGAAATGACCTGCCATGGGTGGCGACAGGAGCCCGGTCACCCTGTCAGGTGGTGATTGGGTGATAGCGCAGAAGTGGTGGAGGAAAACTTACCGAAGGTATAATGTCACGCCGTCACGGTTATTGGTCACTCCATGCATCCATCCTTATCGGCAATCGCCTTGTGCCGTTGGCGTTTTTATGATCTTCGGCAAAAGCAACTAAAAGTATCGCGACTCCATAGGTCAATCTGCCATTCCTCAGAAGATTGCTCGGGTTCCGTCTAGTTGAATCACATTTAATCGTTCGGTAAGACCGTCTCATCCAACTTTTAAGACATCTGAATCCGTCTGGATTGCTTTTGATTCTGCCCCAGGAATTCGTAAATTTAATTTCCTCTCGACTTATCGTCTCACTCAGCCGTGGGGTCGTCTTCTTACTGGAGATAATGTCTGATAATATGGCATTGTGGGCTGTCGCAGAATGCCCATTGCCCAGTAGGCAGTATCCCTGGTATACATATGTATATCTGCAAATACTTCTCACTCGACTCCCAATTATGCTGCTCTTCTATAGCACATATCGGGCTATAAAAAACATTTGATATAATCTTACCGTTAGTTTGTATGAAGTGCTGTTATTTTCTGGGCACAATCTTATTCTTATGCCCGTCAGAGTTTATATTTCTTATTCCTCTTCCCTTTTGCCTTATCTTTTCTTTACAGCTGCATTCTTCGTCCATCTTTCTCTTACCCCTCTCTAAACCTCTCCTTTCATTCACATTATTGCTGCTTCTAACCTCCCTGTCTGTTCCAGGCGGCGCCCATGCGGAGGAGCGTCTCCGCACCTGCTGAACCCTTCCCTGCTCACGGGCTGGGGGACGCGCTGCTCGCCCAGATGGAGAAGGCCCGTCGCAACCACCTGACTCCTCTCAAACAACGCGAGCGGTACGCCAACCTGACGCGGCTCGACGTGGAGCAGCTGGGGTTCGAGCCCCGCTGTGCCATCGACACGCGGGAGGTTATCTCGGCTGTGATGAGGGCGGATACGGACGCCTGTAAGCGAGAGCTAGTCGAGTTCAGCTGCAAACTGAAGGAGGGGACCGCCTACCCGGCCCGACTGCCCAACTTCTGTCCGCACCAGGGTGAGTACCAGGTGTAGGTACTGGGGAGCGGGCATGCATGCCTGGGGCTGGGCGGTGGTAACATGGAACTGGATGTAATAGTGCGCAGTCGCAAGAAATGTGCATTGGATGCATTATTAGCGATTGCAGTCTCGATTCCATTACCATTGCGGCTTTTTATATGTGCCATTCCACCGGCCATATAATCAGCACAACCTCCGTTACCCATACTCTTACCCTTCCCTGTTACCTGGCTATCTTTTACCCTACCGGCTATCACCTTCTCAACGCTTCCTCATCCGTCGTTACCGCGAATTTCACCCCATACCGATCCCACCGCATTGCGGTTCATCTTCCGCAAACCCTGATATCGGGGATGAGTAATAGCCGGCATCCTCGCCCATTCACCGAACCAGAGTCTGGCGTATCCCCGCGCGGCGCCGTGAGATCGGCAGCCTCCTCGTCAATCATTCCCGGCTGCTTTGAAAGGCTTCACCCGGGCACCGTATTGCTATTCATTGCCTGCCGAGCTCCTGGGAGACTGGCCGTGTTACGGATCGGGCCGGATCTGGCGGTGAATTGAGCGGAGGCTGATTAGGATTTGCGAGGGTTTGAGGTTAGGCTTGTTGTGTGGCTGGTTGGATTGGCTTGGTATTCGTGGAAGCAACGTTTTAAAAATTGATGTGCTTGAAGAGTCTGTTCAGAATGGGGACCCACTTAGATTGACTTATTTTAACAGCGTGGAATTTGGATGCAAGATTTTCTTTTATCCTGTTGAATAAAGTTAACATATTAAGTTAACATATTAAGTTACCAACTGAGCCGGTCCCGTAGCTCAGCCGGTAGAGCGTTGGACTCCGCGTGGTGAGAGCACGCGTTCACGGTTATACATGTCCGGGTTCGAAGCGCGACGGGCGCTTGACATTTATAGGCCTCCTGACAGGTATGGTTGCGGTTGGTGGCAGGTCGTAACCAGGCGAAGTCAGTGAGGGGACCGGCCGTGCGCGGCTATGTGCACACGTTAAACTTTGGACTCTAAATTCTGCCATAGAACTGGAATTGCGCGATCGGAGGGTAGAGGGCAGGGTCACCGCAACAAGCTTCGCTTAGCGGTGGCTCTGTCCTTGTGAATCCTTCCCATCAAAAAGTTCGGACTAAATTTATGAAAAAAGTTGACATAGCTCAGGCCCAATATTTTATCGCACGTACGCACGCGACCATACACAGTACAATCAACCAACCACACTGAACAATCAACTACACCAAACCTACTTAGAAATTGATGAAACTAGATTTTCCACATTCAAACATCTTAGCCGTGCTATCTGCAACGTATCGATACTGAAACGGCTGCTAACCTCGCTATCTCCCTTAGTCTCGACTTCCCTACGTGGCCCCTCCGTGGCAACCGAAATAGCCTGTCTTTCTGGTCACTGGCCCTGTCACGTCTTCCGCCCCCTGTTTTCCTCGCTTTTCGCTATCTGCGGCGTCGCATTTCCTCCAGATGACTTCCCTCCCTTCCGTCTCCCCCCTCTCTCTCTCTCCTCCCTCTCTGCGCCCCCGTCCCCCTCCCCCGGCGTTATCCACACAGTCAGACAGGAAATAATATAGCTCCAGGCGTATTATCACTGACGCGGTGCCAGCTTTGGAAACGATGAGTGAAGGGTGTGGCCAACGTTAGGGGAGGGGGTCGAAATCGACAGACATATGAAGCAACGAATAGAAGTGGGCATAGCGCAAACAATTTTTTATTTGCGAAGGGCGAAAGGTAGCTAGGAAATCATAACCCAGACAATGTCTAGGAAAAATTGGCGTTACTTGGCCCCAGAGGGGAAGAGCACACATCTCTCCCCCCCCCTGGCTCTGTGTTGCGGAGATACGTCTCGTGTCAGCTGTACCCCGTCCCAGCGCGGCAAATAGGGACGCCTCGCTCCTCGTCAATCATGCTTGTAGGCGCCTGCGTTTGGCGTCGGCGTGGCAGCGGCGGTGGCGACGTGGTGTGGGGAGCGATATCCCGCTCGAGCAAGGATCATACCTCTGTCGCGGAGATCTAAGTCGGTCTTAGCACTGACGAGACGCGCGGCTGTTGATTGCCGTGGTGAGCTGACAATCTCGGCCGACACTCTTCTGAGCCTGAGACGGATGTTGGAGGGAGAATGGGCATCAGGAGTGTGGCGAGGCTGATGTTGTGGATGGTTTTTGTGGTTATAAATCTGAGCTGCTGGTGCAGCCAACGAGGGTAGCGGAGGGGAAGATTGGGTTGTTGACAGTCTCTCTCTCTCTCTCTCTCTCTCTCTCTCTCTCTCTCTCTCTCTCTCTCTCTCTCTCTCTCTCTCTCTCTCTCTCTCTCTCTCTCTCTCTCTCTCTCGCTATGCCTTTCTTCTTCTCCTTCCCTCCATCCCTCTCTTCCTACCCTGCTTTACTACTAATATCACTCCCTCTTTACTCCTCATTGTTTTCCTATTTTTCGTTGATAGTTATAAATAACACCACTAAGATCATTTATCGCTGTTGTCGGCTCAAACCTGCTTGATGAGCTCACTGGCACTGTGTCCTCATTGGTGTATCAGTTCTCTCGGTCTTATTTAGCCCACCATTGCTGTGTGGTAACCAGGCCGCTTCATCAGTGATGAAGCGACCTGGTTGGAGCTCAAGGGACTGAAGACTTGTTTGGTTTCATCTGGGCTTGTTGAAGCTCGTTGACAGGTCTTGAAGGTTGAAGCTGTATGTACAGTCGTGTACAGGTTGATGGTCCCCTACTCTTTATCCACCGGGTTCCTATGGCTCAGCATTGGCAGCAGCCGCCTAGTACCGGTAGGCTGTGCCGCATGACCCGAAAGTGAAGCAGCACAGGCTACCTGCACACTGTATGACACCGGCTCGGGTCGCCTGGTAGAGCGATTTGACCGGACGCTGCGTTACACCGGCTGGGGGGAGGGGTGGGGGTAAGGGTCAGGCCTGTCAATTTGGCTCGGCTCGGTGGATGAGGCGGGCTGGAGTGTGGTGTGGGGCGGGGGTGATGTGGGGAGGGAGTGAGCGGACCTGGGGCTGGGTGTGTGTGCTCACTTGTCGCATAGAGCCGATCGTAATCCACCGTCCAAAAATTCGCTTTAGAGACATTCACAAAACCCAGGGGGGTTCAAACACCCATCTCCCAATTAGGGTGCGGAAAGACAGGTAAGGGTCCATAGGTCTCCTCATGAATTGCAGCAAAGAAAGAAAACAGGTCAGTCACCAAATAATCTTTCTGAAAAGTGGACTAATCGCAAAGCCTCCCACACAGAAATAAACATCCGGCACGCGAAGCGTCTCGAACCGGGTCTCTCACTACCGGTCAGTTTGACAGTCTAGCACTCCTACGCTGAGCTACACCGGATCGCGGATCAGGTCGGGGCAAAGTCCGGCCGGGCGGGCGGCGGGGCCGGGCGGTCGGCAGCAAAGTCCATGAATATTTTTGTGGGTTCGGGTGCCGGTCGCTCTAGCTTGGTGGAATGATGATGGATCATTGGCAAAACTTTCAACGTGGAGTCCCGGTTCGAGCCTCATCGGGGCTCCGGCTACTTTTCCGAGTTAGGATCTGGTTTGATTTTAGTGGTTGCGAGCCATTTATACGGTTTTATACCTACATGCCGATTGTCGATTGACTGATTGATTCATTCATTCGTTCATTTAATACATGTCGACATTTAGCATACGAATTGACATCCAGGATCAATCTACCATTTTCATAAGCGTATTGCCTAAATATCATGCATAGGTATGTGGCACAAGACCTATGGTTGCCTCGATACCGTGCCAAATCACGTTTTGCACAATGCACAAGTAAAGTAGGGGAAGTTGGGGCAATGCCGGAGTTGGGGCAAAGCCGAAATTCGAGATATTTCTAAAACCGTACGACATGGATGCCACGTCTCAGTGATGCTCTGAAGCTTAAGTGACTACAATTATCGCATGTTTGTTACGAGTTGTCATTTGGAATACTTCGGCTGTGAGGGCGCCAAAAGCGTTTTCAAGTTACGTTTCCCTTGTACTACATGCGCCTTTGAAGCTGCATTTCTTACTCATTATGCTACTGTTTGTCTGGCCAATTCGGTCAAGTAATCTTCAGCATGTCTTTGCATAAGTGTGCTGCCTATTTGAAATTTATACAGCACGTTTAAAAGTTATGGGCCTGCAAATGAAAGTATGGCTGGCTGGGGTAATGCCGAAAACGTGCAATTACGCACGTTAAAGCACGCTACGTGGACTTTACTGCTGTAGAATAGCAACGCGCATTTTTAGTCAAACAAATTACACTTTCAGCCGGCACAACGGCCTGTTACCTATAAGGAATGATTTACCTAGCATTTTTTTTTTTTATTATATCACACAATTATAACTTCCAGTGTGCACCAAGCGTCCTCAAGCTCTTAAAACGCGTGTCAGCTTTGATGAATTTTGGATAAAGTTTGAGATAAATTGGCAAAACATCAATGTCTGCATTCCTCGTAGATCATTTATCCCATTTTCGGCTTTCCCCGCAGTCCGGGGCAACGCCGAAAAAGTCAGTTCTTTGATATTTTTAGTTTTTGCGCTTAACGGTATGCGAATTCATCAAATGCGCCTGGTATGTTTGAAAGACAAAAGACTGGCCTCTCGAATGACGCCAACAAGAATAGCTTATGTTGTCTACCTTGCGTGCTACGGGCGTCAGAAAAAAAGTATTCGGCGTTCCCCCAACTTCCCCTAAATTATATTCGCTGGGTCTTCCGTGCATTGTGCTTAGCAAAAATAGGAATGCAATTGTTAAGCGACGCAAAATGTGCAATGCAGCAAGTGACCACACACACACGCCCAGCCCCCATGGTCCACCAACACGCCCCACACCACTCGCCAGCCCACGCCAACCACCGAGACGAGCCCCTCCCCCCGCGCTGGTCTGACGCAACAGCTGGTCTACAAAGCGCTCCACCCGGCGACCCGAGCCGATGTCAAACGGCGTGGGTAGACTGTGCCGCTTCACTCTCGGGTCATGCGGCACA